GAGTAAAACTTGCCATGAGTCTTCTTCCACAACTCCCAGTGCTGGTCTAGATTCGAGTTAAAATGGGCCAGTGCTGCGCTACAACACACGGCAAACAGCAAGCTCCCGAACATCATGGCCTGTGAACAAAACGGTCAATGAAAAAGTTACTGGCATGCATTAAAACCTCATTGTTTCTGTTAATATACTCTCATGAATTAAAGGGATAGTTAGTTCACTTTGAAATTAATTTTTGATATGTTTTAGCTTACCTCAAGGGCATCCAAGATGTAGGCGTCTTTGTTACCACAGCATTTTCAATTTTGACATTTTTTGGTCAAACCGGTGTTGTCTGTCAGTCATATAATGGAGGTCTATGGGGATCTCATAAAAGAGCATGCACAAAGAAGTCCAAATTAAATATGATTTAATGACTCGTGAATGTAAGTACACACTGATGGCCTAAGACACGAAACGAGTGGTTTGTGTGAGAAAACGAACAGTATTTATATAGTTTTTACCTCTTGTTAACAGCTGTCGAACTGATCTGAATCCGATGTTCAACTGAACTGTCTCCAAAGTTACGCCGGAAGTGATCTCTCGCATCGTTTACGCATCATTTACACGGAGATTTCGGAAGTTTTACCAGAGCCCGTCTAACAGAGAGCCTTGGCACTTCCTATTAGCCCCATTGTGTATCATCTTGGTTGCAGTTCCATTAGAATTCCACTGGAGGTGATTGCAGGCGAGTGCAGAATGAATGGGAGTCTATGGGGCTAAACAGCTAAATCTGTCTCTTTCACCTGCTTGTTGTTAAATCAGCATAGATTTTATTGTTGATTCTGCAAGTTCAATATAGATTATAGGCCAAAAGTCAAATGAACGAGTACTTATGTCCTTTTGATTTCTTACAGGTTAGGCCATTGTTGGCCGGAACACGCTAGCATTCTGCTATTGTGTGACGTCATCACAGTTTTGAACGGATTTTTAGAACAGATAAGTGAACTTAAAAATGCAGTTTTCAGCTGAGTGTATTATCTTAGCCCTCCCCTTTGAATGCAACTTTAAAATTACTTCACAAAAAATTATATCCTGAGAAAAGTGGATTTCTGGGGGTGAAACCCCATTGACTCTCATTCATCCTGCACTCGACCACGAGCGCCCCCGCATGGACAGAGACGTGTTACTGCAGCCAGTTCAGAAACCGGAAGTAATCAGCCGAGCGTCACGTGACCAAACCGGAAAACAGGTCTCATCGCATCTGCTTGTCATAAGTGTTAGGCCGTAAGAACGGACTACGATATCTATGGATTTTTAAGGTAATCAGCTAACCTACCTAGTTCACTTTGTTATTGGCGTTTTATTCCATTTAAATAGGCTATCTAAACGTTACTGTGAAGAAAAATATAAAACGTTTAAATATCAATCTGCATATGTGAGGGACATTGGTTCTGCTAATCTTTGCTCGCTCCTTTTAAGTTATCTTGAGTAAAACCACAAAAAATTTCATGAAGCACATACAAAAGACCTGGACCGGAAGCGATGAAACAGAATGCGGAAGTAAGTTGTGCATAGAGCCTATTCTCTTCAATTAGACATTCTCTGGTTTTACCTTTCACTAAACATACGTATTTAGATATATCGAAATCGTCTTCCATTGCGTTTCCCGTATATCCAAATATGTTTAGTGAAAGGTGAAACTTCCGAAATCTCCCTGTAAACAGAGAATGTAGACGGGCTTTGGTGTAAACAATGCGTGACGTAGACGCGCGAGAGATCACTTCTGGCGTAACTTTGGAGACGGTTCAGTTCGGTTCAGTTGAACATCTGATTCAGATCAGTTCGACGGCTGTTAACAAGAGGTAAAACTATATTTAATACTGTTCGTTTTCTCACACAAACCGCTCGTGTCGGCCATCAGTGTGTACTTACATTTACAGTCATTAAATCATGTTTAATTTGGACTTCTCTGTGCATGCTCTTTAGGAGATCCCCATACGACTGACAGACAACACAGTTTGACCGAAAAATGTCAAAATTGAAAATGCTGTGGAAACAAAGACACCTACATTTGGATGCCCTTGAGGTAAGCTAAAACATATCAAAAATTAATTTCAAAGTGAACTATCCCTTATGTTGACACATGGCCTAAATGTTACATCAACCAGACAACCACAGAAGTGATCAGTTCAGTGAAGCAGACTTATGAAAGTTTTGTTTGTTTATTTATTTTAAATGTTCAGATCTAAAAGAAATGCTGTCATCCTGAATACACCGTCGGTGTAAGTGAGTGAGTGAATGTGATATTTAAAGTGCTTTGGTGGCCATGGGTCTGTGAAAATGCAGTCCATTTACCATTTAACATCCTGGTTTAGAAAGGAAGGAAACGCATTAAATAAGGAGACCAGAAATGAAGTTAAAGAGAAATTGGTAGAAAGACAAATCTAAGTAAATCAATGAATATTATAATACTATAAGACGTTAAGCAAGATTAGGGAAGCCAATTTTACAAGTTAACCACATAACGGAGCAAGAGAACACATGAAGGCTACCAGTCTGAGGAAGAAACGGAAATTAAACTAAGACGGGGTTTGATCGACTTCATATGATCCTTCTTTTAACAACATATTTAACTCTAATTTATGGGCGTTTTTTACCGTTTTACCTTTAAACCAGTTAGTAGCTACTACAGACGACTAATACAACACTGACAACATTTCAAATATTTCAGGAAAAGCACTCATAAAACCGCAGTCACCACCTTAATTAAAACCGAAAGAGAAACATTTTGAGAGAAACCTCCGAAAAAGACGACTTTTATCAAAAATATATCCCACGAGGTGAAAGTGAACAAGAAATCACTGAAACGTTAACGTTACTCAGATCAGTTTCGTCTCACCTGTGCACTTCTTTGTCGTTTGTCGAGGAAGCGATGAGCGTCTGTAATTTCCTGGTTCCTTTGCTTTTATTTTGTTCCATCACGTGCTAATCTATTGTCATAGCACCACTGTTGTCTTAGTTTACTTTTTTCTTCGCCCTACATGTTGAAAAAATAATAATAAACATAATCGGCTAGTAAACTTACGTTTATAGCTTATAATATATATATATATATATATATATATATATGAAGAGTTCAGATGCAAAAGCCTTTTGTGTCATTTGAAATTTTCTTCTAAAATGATCATTTTTATCAAGCTTGTATATTTAAGTTCAGTAATTTCACTTAAATGGCAATGAAGATTACCTATTAATTGTCATTTAAGTAAAATTACTGAACTTAAATATACAAGCTTGATAAAAATGGTCATTTTAGAAGAAAATTTCAAATGGCATTTAGAGGCTTTTGCATCTGAACTCTTCATATATATATATATATATATATATATAACTAATTAGACTATTTATTAATCCTTAGGCGAATTATGTAAAAAAAATTAAATAAACATACGTTTAAAATATCAAACTAATTATATACAATTAGACGAATTAGATATAGATTTATGTTGTAAAAATGTGCCCGCGATGTGCTTTGATTAATAATAATTTGATAGGGGTTTTCCAACAGCGAACACCTTTTACTCTGAAACTGTTAAAGAAATACCAACAGTTTACATCTGAGCTGCTAATTGCTAAATGAAAAGTAGCCTAGGCCTAATTTACGTTGAGTAGAAGAAATTGTTACCAAAATGTTGTCTAGGTAGGCAGCTCATAGGTTCTAAGAGTTTCCAACGCTTTGAAAACAATTAGGTTTTTATTCTGTTTTCTCATGTCGTGTTTGTATCGCCATCTAGCGAAATTAGTAGGCTATTAAACACCGGAAGAAAATCGAATCTCTTGATGCACCGTATTATTTCAGACAAGATATAGAATACTTGATAACAATGTGGTAGTTGAGGCCTAAAACCATAATTATCATGTATTACATAATATATGAAATTACACAGGAAACAAGAAGACAGCCAGAGGAACTCATGTGGTTAAAAACAACATCATTTGAGCACACAAGCACAAACACCTGTCTGGCGTATTTCAGAAAATGTAGGCTATAGGTTCTAGAAGAACATGTTTTCTTGCCCAATGTAACATGTTTTCTTGCCCAAATGTTAAAAAGCTACATAATCACTTTGAGTAGAGGAACAATGAGACATTTCTTTCCTTTCATGATTCATTTGCTGATCACTTAATGAGTCATCATCATGATTCAACAATATTTGTGCTGAACTGGTGCTGATTTCGATGGAATGAAAAAATATTCAAAATGATTAAATGTGTGTTGTGACATCTTCTATAACAATAACTGAACTTAAGTTACAATCCAAGCTGAGAGATAGGCTAATTAGTATTTGTCTCTCAGAAATTTAATATATTGTTATGGTGTTTTAAGAACAATATCATCTCAGGTCACCTTTATGGAACATTGTGAAATTTTCTTTGAACAATAATTACTGAAGATTTCAGTCATCCAGAAAGTTGGCTAGGCTTAGTTTGCAGAATTGTGGGAATGTATTACTGAAGTTCTGATGTTGTATTATTTGTTTTCAGGTTGAGTTTTTAAATAAAGTCAAAATGAAAAGATTTTAAGTTAAAATGACTGAATGTGAACACAAAAGGGGAAATATGAGTCATTCATCTGATGAGGAAGTGCTTCAGTTATGGTCATATGATTTCTTGCTACACAACATAACTGTCATCATTTAGTTTAGCTCTTAATTCTATGGTCTTTGATTTCTTGACTTGGCTTCTCTTGGTTTCAACTTCCCCAAATAAATTCTCTGATGCTTTCTCTTCCTCCTCAGCAAAACTAAAACCAAGTCTTCATAAACACAGGAACGTCTTACGTTTGCATGGTTTATAAAAACGTTCTCAGAATTCAAAATAAAGGCGTTAGCACTGATGTTTTATTCTCTGAATTTTACAGAGGTGTGATACTGACTTGTATTTATTAGAATGTTAGTGTGACCTTTTTTACATTAGAAAATTATCCTTTTGAGGTAAACACTAAGAGACCTTCACCCAAGTATGATACTCAAAATTAACGGTTTTATTTAATATGGTAATAAAAAGCCCTTGGTAATTTATATAATCAAAATATAAAACAGAGATCTCAGATCCCACCAGGGGAGTAAGAAAAAAAAAAACTTAGTGGACTGTATATACACAATATCAAAACTTCCCTTTTGAATTTTAAATATTGCACAAAACAGTTTCAACTGCATGGGATTAAAAACAAGACATCTAACACACAAGAGAAAAAAAAACACAACCTTGTGATTTTAAATGAATTGCTTCTTTTAGAGAGTGTCTGAGAGGTCATTGATAGTGATAATGAGTCCCTTTTGTTATTGGTCAGCATCAGACAAGTTTGGTTTGGTCCCTTTTGAGCTCCATGCTTCCAGCTCTCACATGATTGGGTAACTGGCCAGGCTGGCAATACCACATGCATTGTTACGGTTACGAGCCATCAGGACATACCCCTTCTTTCCCCAGTCTTCACCCCAACTTCAGAAGCAGAAAAAAAAAACAGATGGATTAGGAGAAGACACTACTAAATGCACATTTATTAATTTATTTTTAAATTAACTTTAAATTTCCAAATTAAATATAAATGACATATTTATTTTATTTTAAATGGAATAATTTTATTTAAATGATTTATTTATTATTTTAAACAAATCTGCTCTCTTGAAGAACAGATTTTCCTCACCTGTTCTTCACAATCCAGTACTTTTTGCCTTTCGGTGTGACTCCGTAACCAACAGCTAGCACTGCATGGTTGACATCATCCTTGTTGCAGTTGGGATCATAGTACACACCTACAGTAGAAATGGGTTTTGGATATAGTAAAGGTCAAGCTTTTAGTCTTATTAGTAGCCTTTATTTGAAAGATTTCAGCAAATCAACACAAATCAGATGGTATATAGATGTTAAGTACCGCTTTTGTAGTACAGGAAGGTGGACTGCATGGCATCTATACCCACTGACACAGGTCCCACCTTTGCCACCGCGGTAGTCAGTACCCTCTCATTACCCTGAGGAATCTCTTTATACCCTTTACAACTGGCTGCTCTCGCTGAACTGTTGTAGGCACAATTCTGATCCTGCAGGGGGAAGTAGTGAGATGAAGAAAAATTAAAAATTAAAATTAAGACTGTCAATAGGTAAATCATTGGTTGGGTGTGACCTTAATCCAATCATTTAAATTAATCATTGAAAAAAAAATCCCAATGCAGATTATGTTTAAATTGGTTACGTGAATTTGCTGTGCTGACCAACTGCTTGGTTTAAAAGTGTGTGAACAGTGCTGCCTATGTCACTTCTTTCTTAGAACAAAAGGTTCTATACAGAACCATAAAGGATTCTTTTAGACATTTCATAGAATTTTTAAGGGTTTCCCATCTTTGGATCATTTTATGAATTTAGTTGTCATTTTTTTTTAGTTTATTTTAATTCTTATTTTTAAGAAAATGTTATATATTAAACATTTTAGATAAACATAAACTGAAATGTCTATTAAAAAATCCATAAATGTTATGAGAGCATGTGGATTTAAAATAAATACTGCAATATACCATAAAAAAATAAGATTTGTCAAAAAAAAAATGTCTTTAAGGCTGACCCGTACCGTTCCAACATAGGGGTAGCCCTCTTCTGAATCAATGCCTTGGTTCTTTGCGACGTATTGGAAAGCATTTGTCATGTATCCTCCACCACAGCCGTCATTTTCAGTCACACAGTCCACCAGGTTCTGAGGACTGAGGTCTACCAGTTGACCTTTGGTCTTCATCAGCTGACCTTCCAAGGCCCCAACAGAGCTAAAGGCCCAGCATGAGCCGCACGAACCCTGAGGAGAGCAAGAGAAAAACAGCACTTTACTAAGAAGCAGACTATTCTTCGGATTTAAAAATACAAGCTTAATCGTTTTAACCACTAGATGGTGCTTAAGTACAATGATAACTGTAGTTGGCTTGAAATCTAAACAGATGAAGCCAATGGTTGTGATAATACTCATTCTATGGAAAATTATTTGAATGCACATTTCTTACAACCAGGAGTTGATGTGAGGATGATGATAAGGTTAATCATGTGAGAGATTCTCAGAATGAAGAAATATTACTGGAATATTTTGTTATTTCCTCACTTGGTTCTTGACAGAAGTGACGTATCCCAGTTTACGGTAGTCAATTGATTTGGGCAACTTCTCCATTGTGTCACCAGGCACGAATGTGTTTGATGAGTCGCGGTACATGGGCATTTGGAGTCCCATCACCTTCTCTGCCACTTCTTCTAATGTCTGCAGAGAGATAAGAATTGGACAAAAAGGATCTCACTTCTAATTGTTGACCAATCCCCCAAAACGTTGAAATGTTAGATCTAGTTTCAGTAAACAGGCTTTTTAAAAAAACATATTTTGTTGATGGAACATTCCTGTTGCCATAAGCTTCCTTATCTGCAAACAGGTTTAGCAAGTAAGATAACAAAACAGCTAAATTATGTTGAATTTTGACACCTTAATCTTGACAACTGGGCCTGACACTTGGCACTGCACATGTAAAATATTATCTATAGACAAACTGAACTTAAATGTGATTGATTCACATTTAGCAAATGTGTAATAAAATACATTTTATAAAATATTATTTATCATTCTATAGGACTAATAGTGGAATGTTTTACTATGTATTATGTATATTCTGAATGTATTACTGAAGTTCTGACACAGTTTGCAGTTTCACACACACACACACACACACACACATATATATATATATATATATATACAAATATATGAATGTTAAAACCCATATATATATATATATGGGTTTTAATATATATATATATATATATGGGTTAAGCATTTCACAGCAGTCAAATATTAGTATATACCGGTATACATACCATATCTCCAAAATGGTTCATGCCCAGATTATAAGTATGAATCCCCAGTTCATACTCTTTGTTATGGGCCTCAATAAACAGCATGTTCTTCTCCCAAATCGTCCGTCGAATAGACTCTTCATCCTGTCCGCCATGAAACACACATGTAAATACTTGACACAAACAATGACTACTCCAAATAAAAGTATTGCTGTAGAAATAATTTGCATGTAAAAACAAAGCCCCATCAGAAAGGGACTTAGCCAGCCTAGTACATTTCAATCAATGTAGTCATAAAAACAAAAACAATACAAACTAGCTCACCAACCTAATTCAAGTCCCCATGTAGTGAAAATTAAACTGTTTTATGATTATGTGGTGTTTTTAATATGCTTTAAGACAAATCGTGAACAAATGCATAAGTCAAAATAATTGCTGAGTATTTTATGCTTAAAACTGGATTGAACTAAAGACTATCTCAAAAACAGTTTGAAATCGCTGGTGTTTCTGAGGTCACAAACAGCTGGTGTGAGTGGAGGCGGACTCATTTGCATATTCATAGAACTAAATGAGGCAAGGGTGTAGCGTTACATTAAGGCATGAGGATTTTTTTTTTTCAAGGAAAAAACATTTAAATATATAATTTTGGTGATCAAAGATTAGTTTTAAGGGATACAATTATTGCCTGTAAAGGGACTTTAACTCTTTTATAACCCCGAGAAAACATAATTTGACTATTTTGTTAGTCTTAGTGCTCACCAGGCCATTGTACTCCCTCCTATGGGTGATTTTCCAGCTCTCCCATGCTTCATCCAGTGAGAGATTGTCCAGACTGTGAGCTAGTCCACACCACACCACCACGAGAAGAGGAATTCCACCAAATGTATGCATGATGCCCTGAAAAACAGACATACAGCGAGAGGTGTAAACCCACAGGCGTACTATAACATGCTCGTGCAACTTACAGTACGTGCCTGTTAAACGTAAACCACTTGCAAAAACGAAACCCCCACTGTAAACTATTTAGGTCAGTTTAGAGAAGTAAGGGTCGAGTGGTTGTATCCGAAGTGAGGAAGAAGAAAATTACTGTCTACAAAAAAAAATTTGCGTTAAAAGGTTTTCATTTTAAACGTTTCGTAAAAAAAAAAAAGAAAAGAAAGCGAAAGTATAGCAAAGCTGCACACATTACGTCAATTGTTTCGACAATAGCCTATTTTACGAATGTTAAAACATTAACAATGTTAACTCTATTCAAGATGATAGAAAAATAAGCTACAGAGTGACAATGAGGAACGGTTACCTGGATGTCCAGAAGTTCAGAACAAAAGATGCTGGTTTACAACTGGTTAGTCGACGAGACGACGACCTTTTTTATATGCTGGAGTTTTGAGGAAGTTACTGTTGTTGCAGGAAAGGGGAGAAGTCCCTCTCCATCTGGAATCGCTAAAACATCAGACAAGAACGATGATGATGATGTCAGGTGTCGAGTTACAGTTTTAGGAAAAGTGGGAAGTTGTAGGCTAAATAGTGTATCCTACCAAAGTCGGGAAAAAGAGATTTCTATATGAAATTAAAATTCATTTATCTAACAACACCACCACCACTAACAACAAGATAATTGAATAGAGATCTAAACTAAACCAACTAACCTACAGTTGCCAGATAGATTCATAATTTTACACAAATAAGAAGTTTTACATATTGAATTTGGTGCACCGTTTCCTAATGTTTTGGGTAGCCTTATATTGACGCCAGTTTTTACTTTTTGCCATTGATTTTCATTAGCATTTATACTTTTGCCATGCTAGTTTATAACAAAAGAAACAGTCACATCCAGGTTGTCATGTAATTGCTTTTCTTTTGGGGATCCTGCAAAAGGATGTGGTAATGCACATTTTCTCATCTTCATAACCTTGTTCAGTAAGCAGGACCTACATCTTCATTCATCTTACATTTCCTGTAGTAATGGGGGGAAAAAAGTTTGTTTGTTTTTTAGCTGGAAGACAATATGACTTAAAACTCAACAGATATGATGGTGTCAATAAATAGCACCTCTTTCTGAACATCATTCTCCTGTGGCCCTGTTAGCTTGTCATGAACACTTCCCCTTGTTAGTCAACAACCTGAGTTCCCTGCACAATGTGTAAGTGTAGGTCTACATAGAAATTATCCCGTGATGTAGGCATGCGGTCAGCAGCACTAAAATACAAATGTATGTCGAGATGAGTCCCCTTAGTGTTAGTTGCTCATGCTATGTGCAGATTACTCACAAACATACAAGCAAATCCATAAATATCACAGGCCAAAAGCATCATAGCCTGCTGACATGATGACAAGACTGATCAGACTAAGAACTATTTCAGCTTTTGTACAGTATATGGGGAACAAAAAACGTGTGCTAGATTTATTCAATCCACTTTAAAAACTGACTGGATTAGTTTACCATTTAGCATTAGTTTACCAATACCATTTGCACAAATGGTTTGTGTAGTTGCTACTAATTTAAATTAATTGATCAATACCCAACTTTAAAACACAGCACTTCTATGAACTCAACACTTTTTTTGTAGTGTAGTGTAACAAGACTCTCTTTCAGTACCTTTTTCTGCATTTAAGCAGAGTAAGATGAATGTACACTAAAAATAAACTTTCAGATCCTTCTGTGCATCTTGTTTAATGTAATTGCTGTGGTCAAACACTGTTGACTATTAATTTGACCGCAAGGATTGACTGTGACCTAGATATAAATCAATGAAGCATTTTTCAGTAATACACACCTGCTCATTCGTGCGTTACAAAAATTTTGACTTTTTTGGGGGGGTTAATCTGATCCTGATTGGAGCCTGTGGTGTGTGCGTGTTTAAGTGTTGTTTTTCTAAAGGATTAAGGATTAAGCCTTATATTTCTAGACGTTTTGTGAGTGCATATTTTGTCGATGTGAACACAATTAAATTGTTGTGAAATTATTTACTGTACAATAAACATTATATTGTATTAATATTGAATTACAAAGCTCTAGCATCACAACTGTTGAGTCATGTTAAACAGCAAAAATCTCTCCCTCAGGTAGCTGTTAGCAGACTCATCTGTTCAAAACTCAAAAAACATCTGTTTCCTATAACATTCCAGTCTAACCACGTAGCTAAAGAAGCCCAGAATGCCTTGCTGCAGTCATATGTCTGTTCCCATGACTATCACGAGACTTTTGATTCAAAGTTTTTTTTTTTTTTTTTTTTTTTTTTACAGATTATTGTTCAGAATGAGAACAACAGAACCATGAATCAAACTTCCCTTTTTGTATACACTATTCTATAAACTATGGGTTATACACTACCAGACAAAAGTTTGCACATAAGTCGCTATACCTATTTTTTTTTTTTTTTTTTTACATTTCATAGAAAGAGTAAAGTCCTCAAAATTATGAAATTAGCAATGACTGAAATGCATATGACTGAAAAATGTTAAACAAATCAAAGCTACCTTGAAGAAGTAAACTTTTGTTAAGCTTTACACTGGGCTTTTTTCAACCAACCTCATGAAGTGCATTCTATAATTCTCTCTATATATATATCTAATATATATCTTATATATATATATATATAGAGAGAGAGAGAGAGAGAGAGAGAGAGAGAGAGAGAGAGAGAGAGAGAGAGAGAGAGAGAGAGAGAGAGAGAATTATAGAATGCACTTCATACTGTGTGTATATTAAAAGCTCTAGCATCACAACTGGCTTAGAGTTGTCGCACACTGATTTGTATTGGTCAAATCCTGCTATCACAAACCCTCAGATCCCTGTGCACGTGGCAGATGGTACAGTTGTGAAATTCTGAATGTGCTCTTGCTCTTTATAGACTGCAATACTATTTTCCAGGCCCACTCAACTCTAATCCCCAGCATGTTGACCTCTATTCATTAATGGTGATTTATGAATGGAATGCCTCAGCAGCACTTTTCTTATAATAATATAATATAATATAATATAATATAATATAATATAATATAATATAATATAATATAATATTATATAATATAATATTATATAATATACATACACATATATGCATACATATACATATATACATATACACACATATATACACACACATATATATGTGTATATATATATATATATATTTAATGGTTAGCTGGAGTGCCCTTGAGAGCCACCTGAGGGCACTCCACATCAGACTTTCATTACGCATGTGTGTGTATGTGTATGTACAGTATATATATATATATATATATATATATATGAACTGCTTAAAGATAAGAATGTTGAGGATCCAACTGCAGTTTGTAAAAGTTAATCCAAATCGTAATCAGAATCGTGGCAAAGGTCATACACAGGCAGGCTATCCAAACAGACAAATCCAGAGGGTGAGGCCCGTGAGGCAGGAACGGGAAGAGCAGGACACAGGCAGAGATCAAGAACTATTAACAAAGAAAACAAAGGAAACGCTCAGAAATGCAGTAGTATAACGTAAAAGACTAGAAATGGTGAGGTGAATGGGGTGAACTAAATAATATAATGAGAGACAGGTGAATGTGATAATCTGGGGTGATGAGTCCGGGCAGTGAGTTATGGGAAATGTAGTTGTGAGTGGTGAACAATGCTAGTCTGATGTGGAGTGCCCTCAGGTGGCTCTCAATGGCACTCCAACTGATAACCATTACATGTGTGTGTGTATATATATATATATTATATATTATATCTTTACTTGTGTGTGTGTGTGTGTGTGTGTATGTGTGTGTGTGTGTGTGTGTGTGTGTGTGTATATATATATATATTATATTATATTATATTATATTATATTATATTATATTATATTATATTATATTATAAGAAAAGTGCTGCTGAGGCATTCCATTCATAAATCCCATCACTGTTGGAGCCTGCTTTTGTTTTTCCAGTGCCACCACCATTAATGCATAGAGGTCAACATGCTGGGGATTAAAGTTGAGTGGGCCTGGAAAACTATACATTATTGCAGTAGTCTATGGAGAGCAAGAGCACATTCACAATTTCACAACTGTACCATCTGCCACGTGCACAGGGATTTGAGGGTTTGTGATGGCAGGATTTGACCAATACAAATCAGTGTGCGACAACTCTAAGCCAAGGTCTAAGCTAAAAACAAAAAACAAATATACATATATAGACCATTTTACAAGATGTAAACAACACTGGTCCAGAAACACTTCCTGTTTCAGTTTGTAACTGTTTTCTTTATTTCACATGTAAAGAAAACATCTTAAAGATAGTTGTTTAACTTTTTGATTCAGTTTTATATGTTCTGTTGGTTAAAGAGAGAGAGAGAGAGAGAGAGAGAGAGAGAGAGAGAGAGAGAGAGAGAGAGAGAGAGAGAGAGAGAGAGAGAGAGAGAGAGAGAGAGAGAGAGAGAGAGAGATTAACATCATTTTACAATCCTTTTTAAATGTACAATAAACAGCAGTAAGGCTTTTGTTTACAACATGGAAGAAAAAAAGGGCCTAAAATCAAATAATCCCAATTCCTGGCTGAATACCAAGTGTTAGAAAGGAGAAAATGCTTAATATTAAGTATTTTCTGACAAAGCAAACTGTTCACAGTAAGACAGTGGTAACATCTTTGGTTATACTTTAATATTAGATTAAAAGATTAATGGATATGCATTAAATAGTTTTAAGCTAAAATATCTACATAAATATCTAAAGATAGCTAAAAAAAAACAATGTCTGTTAAAACTAATATTTATACTGTGTTAGTAATGTGGGTGCATTATTACTAAATTATTTTTATTAAATTAAATATTTTAGTAATTACTATTAAAATGAATGCAAATACACTAAATAAGGAATGAAAAAAAAACTAAACAGTGCTACATTGAGAATCTGAAAATCAACAGAATTAAAGAAAACCAACAGCAATTAATATTTTTTCTTAAACACACTTTTACAAAAAGTGAGAAAAGTCTAACAATAAGTCAAGGGTCAAGAGCCCAATTAAAGATAACACTGATCACCATGATGGTGACTTCAAATGAAACATTTTCATTTTTTCTAAACCATGTTAATTCTTAATAAGAACTTTTGTAGAGGTATGGCAGAAATAAATTCAATCTGTCAATCAATACAATCATGGAACTGCAAGCTTAAGCCGAACATGCAAACATGCAAGGACAAACTTTCTGAAACAAACGTGCAACACATAAAACACAGACATTTCAAACCTTATTCCGCCCCAGACCTTTATCTCCGCACCTGAAATCTAAACCATCTGTCCCAGTGTCTGAGGCATTTAATTCAAACAATTAGATTTTTTTAAAATAAAATAGGCCAGTCTTGTTGTGATGGATTACTTTCGTGAAGTTTAAAGAACTTAGAGCTGTTTAATGAGGATAAAGGTGAATGCTTCCAATAGAGACTTTTCTGCACTCAGTCCCTTCTTTCATTTGAAATGTTTTCCCTCTAGTGGCCAGATTTAATTAAAATCCTACAGGCAATGTGGAGAGTGTCATTGTTCTCCCAAACCACTATCTGATACTCCAGTGCAGATATCTGTTTCTATTTTATTTGCACTATCCATGCATTGTAATAGAAGTAAAACCATGTGAAAACCTGTTGCCATTTAGGAAATCCTTGTGAACACATGTCAATAGCATGACCTGCATGATTCATTGTTTTTTTTTAGACTAAATATCACACCCCTGTTATTCATTTGTACACTGGTGCCAAAATTAACATTTATGGTTCATTGGGTGCAATCCTTGTCATCCTCACTCAAAAATTAGAATAAAATAAAGGATGACATGTCCTTTTCACATCAATGGTGCTGGTTAATGTTGTGTGATGTCCATTAAAAAGGCACCAAAGTTATTTAAGAATAAATGCATTCTGAATGTTAGCGATTATGTGGCTTTTCAGGTTTTTTTCATCATGAAATTAACCACAGTGATGTTTCAAGGCAAATTGTCTCTCCACAGATGGTGAACTTCAAACTTTGTCTATTATAAAATGAAGGTAAATGGCTGGTCTTCATGAATGAATTAAAAGCTATTTTAGTCCCTGGCTGGGAGATCTGACCCTGTTTAGAGGATCTTGTTCGCAGGCTTGGACACGTCTGACTTAAAATCTCATGAAAACAAATAGTGTGATTTATCATCTTATCTGCACTGTACTTAGCAAAGACAATAAAAATATATATAGTTATTTTAACCAAAAGTATTAAAAAATAAAGAAAAGCATTACTATATACAGTTAAACATAGGCCTACTGTATATTATATTTCAAAAGACAATGGCATTTTTTTCTAAAAGTAAAATGTAGGCTATTTGTTAAATGTATTAAAAATAAAATACAAGAGAGAATATACACAATACAGTAGGTTATGTAACAAGGCAATAGGCCTACTTACTTTTACAGTGCAGCATTTCAATATATAAGTGTATAAATAGCAATAAATAATAGGCATTTTTAAATAAGTAGGCTATATGCTACACGTAGCCAAGTAAATTGCACTTGGAAATGGGCATTCCCAGAATTCCCTGTCCAAGCACTGCAAAGCAAACAGTTATTTAAAATGTTGGTTGACAACTGATGTGCCCTATTGTTTTTTAGTTGATGTTTATAGCATTTTTATGGCTAAATCTGAGTCATTCAATAATTCTTGAAATATTGACACATTTTTACAGTAAAGTTCTGTCAACCACTGATGCCAGCATTTTTCCTTATTTATTTTATTTTTTTATTTCTTTTTAAGTTTTAAAGTAGGTAGGCTACTAATTTCAGTTTGGGATTTGTTCTATTTTCTACAAAATACCAAGCAATTAAAACCAATTTACCACAAAAAGTCACACTGAACATTTGTATCGTATAAATGGACTAAACTAAACCCATGATCCCATGAGATGTTTTCAACCATCTCCAAGCCACGAGTCTCACTCAGGCAACCATCTGCTGCTTTACCTAAATCCGGAGATTTGGCCAAGCCTCACAAATATCTGTCATTCACTCAGAGTGCCCTCACGAGTGTTATTTTTTATCAGCTCTGCTGAATAGACCAGTAAACACCGATCTGCTATCTAAACCGCTGGGGTTTGGATGTTCACTCGTATTGAAACGGGCAGGTGGGAGTTGGAAGTTAGAGCGAGTGCAGAGGAGCGTCAGTCAGTATACGGAGAACAGCCAACCTAAATTAAGGTTACAATTATCCTTCTAGACCCCGGAGGGATGTGTCGTAGACAGGAGGAATTAATGAAGAAACAAAGCGATTAAAAACATTCGGGTCTTGTCTCAAGACAGGCTCGTCGTCTTTCTGTGAACGATGTTAGAGGACATTGTGCAGAAGTGAGGAACTGCGAACCTAAATGGACAAAGACTTGGAGAGCTTTGAAATCGCTGCCATGCAGATAATGTGAAGGGAGCGGGTCAGCGGGTGAGTTCCGCTTTGTGTTTTGTTGTAATAGTTTACTTAGGTTATATTCAAAGCGATTTTTGTTTGGTGTTCTTCAAGGTTATGACTAATTTTGAAGTTCCTAATTTCGTCACATTCAGACTTCATGGACGTCAACACATAGCCCAGCATTGTCTATTAAGTTAACCTGAACAACAGACATTAAAGTTAAACGACTCTTGTTGTAGAGGGTAATCACAATGTGACTGGGTAGTTTCATTCTGACACTGTGGTTTCCAAGGTAAAGATGATATTGTAGATGTAGCTTATGGTCAATTTGATGTATTCTTACATAGGCTGTTTACGTTTCTTAAAAAAAAACCCTAAAAAGTATGATTCAAAATAATTTTCTTAAAATATCAGGTAGTGTATAAAGCTGGATTAGTAAATTGAGTAGAGATGGATTGATGATTGAAGGAAGGATGGATGGATAGATAGATAGATAGATAGATAGATAGATAGATAGATAGATAGATAGATAGATAGATAGATAGATAGATGATTGTTTGACTGACCAATTAGACTCAATGACACAGATAGATAGATAGATAGATAGATAGATAGATAGATAGATAGATAGATAAATGATTGTTTGACTGACCAATTAGACTCAATGACATAGATAGATAGATAGATAGATAGATAGATAGATAGATAGATAGATAGATAGATAGATAGATGATTGTTTGACTGACCAATTAGACTCAATGACACAGATAGATAGATAGATAGATAGATAGATAGATAGATAGATAGATAGATAGATAGATAGATAGATAGATGATTGTTTGACTGACCAATTAGACTCAATGACACCGATAGATAGATAGATAGATAGATAGATAGATAGATAGATAGATAGATAGATAGATAGATAGATAGATCGATCGATCGATCGATCGATAGATGATTGTTTGACTGACCAATTAGATTCAATGACACAGATAGATAGATAGATAGATAGATAGATAGATAGATAGATAGATAGATAGATAGATAGATGATTGTTTGACTGACCAATTAGATTCAATGACAATAGATATAGAACGATAGTTTGACCTTTAGACTCAATGACACAGATAGATAGATAGATAGATAGATAGATAGATAGATAGATAGATAGATAGATAGATAGATAGATAGATAGATAGATGATTGTTTGACTGACCAATTAGATTCAATGACAATAGATATAGAACGATAGATTGACCAATTAGACTCAATGACAGATAGATAGATAGATAGATAGATAGATAGATAGATAGATAGATAGATAGATAGATAGCTAGATAGATAGATAGATAGATAGATAGATAGATAGATAGATTGATTGATTGATTGATTGATTGATTGATTGATTGATAGATATGTTTCTTAGTTTGTTAGAAACATTTATGTCCCAATTAGGACAAGAAGATCATAGTCTTTTTGTGTTGGGAGGCAAACATAACACCAAAAATAGCAGTCAGAGGCACCCGTGGTCAGCTGGCATTGTGCGCAGCATTCACATTCTCAGCCCCCACGGTCACTGAGGTTTCGGAGGTCCCTGCCAGTCATGGCTGTCTTAATTAGAACTAATCAATCTGAGCAAGTTATGTCTAATGAGATTTCAAACAGCATCCCGTGTGATGTGCAGCACTGCAAATTCCTGTTGCGCACTCGTGAGCCAGCGCTGAAGGAGCGCAAGCTTTGGGGCCGGTCCAGACGAGCACTTTAATCAGAAGAGTTGTAATGCACAGCAGGGCTTGATTTATCACCAGTTGATGGGGGCGGAGTGGTAAAAGCACTTACTTGATCACTGGTTTGTTTTGCTTGGTCACTTGACATTCTCATCATGCCCTCATATGTATCGGTATGTGATTTATGAGGTCTGTCGCTATGAAGTCATTTTGTAGCAGGGTTTAATATCATTGAACAGGTGCAGGTGCCCTGTTTTGACCAGTTTTGTTTTTTTAATAATGCACAGTTAGCTTTGAACTAAATTTGTGATGTGTGGCCCTGATAGGTCCGCCTCACATTGTGAGCATCAGAGCATCTTTGTGTAATCCTGCTGCCCTAAAACGTACCTATTTAGGACCGCTTAGACTGTAAACTATCCAGGCCACCATATGACCCTGCCAGTGGGTGTCCTGTATTACTACACACAGCCAGATGAAGAGAATCGAGATCTCACTGGTGAAATTTCCCAACAGACCAGACCCATCTTTTAACTACGCAATAGCTGTGCTGTTTTGTTTTATTGTAAAGAATGTTTCTGAATCTGTGACCCTGAACGGTAGGCAATCTGTCAGCACTACTGGGTTTTAATGCCAATTGATGGATTAAAATCTATGGATGTCTAATACACACATGGGCGAAGCAGAGCCTGTGCTTTTCACAGATGACATATGAGCTTAAACCATGTCCATATGTGTGAACTCTCCACAATCACACAAAAAAAATCAATGGACTCAGACTTGATTTATACTACGCTTCAAGACACGTTGCATCAATGGAATGAAATCTGAATCTGGGCCTTCAGAAACAAATTATCTCCATCCCACCAGCATGTCTGTCTACTGAATTTCAGATGCTTTTGGCACTGCATGTTTCACAGGTTTATACATACACAGTGTAAAATTAAATGCATATGTTTGTAATCTATTGTCTATTAAAAACTTGCTTAAAATTAACAATTAACTTGTGCAATGCACAGTGACCTAGTTACATTAATGCATTCAGTTTAGCCTGAGGTGACCTCTTTTGTGTGTCCTTGAAAAGTTACTGTTAAAGTCATTTTAAAACACATACAGTATGTGTGTTCCCTTCTGGCAGGCAGTAACATGTGAGATGATGATCTCATGTTCAATTTTCCGTAATTTACATTTATTCATTTATTTTGCATCACATTTGATTGTCTTTGGGTTACACAATGTACACGCACTGACTGAAGTGACCAGCACAAAGCTGAATTATCATAATCTGTCCTTCAGACGTTTGTGATCCCAGCGTGACCTCTCTCAGCTGCTCCACATAATCATGAAAAACAGTGAAAGCATGAACATTCATATTAGTTTGACCATGTAAAATATACACAAAATATTTGTGCTAAATACCAATAACAATTATTTGTCTATAGAGTAATAAAAAAAATGTATTTCTGATACAAAACTAAACAATGAATATATTACAATAACAAGACATATGCATAAAAATACACAATAACAATACAAATGTTTAAATTCAAAAGTAATAATTTCAAGGGATGCACCGAGATAATCATTTTCATGTTACGGCTGATAAAAGATAAATGTTGCAATATCAAAACCCAATTTGATATTTATTTTTTTATTTTTTTTATTTTTTTGTGAAATTTAGCCATTACAAAATTATAATATACAGTATATGAAAATCTGATATTTTATTTCACGTTTCACTTTTTAATTTTAAACTGTTATTTAATGTATTAAACAGTGTCATTAGATGTTTTTAAAGTTGAACCTTAAGTGAGCATTAGATGATGGCAAAGGCAATCTAAATGTAAAAATAAGTCAAATGAGCAGGCACATTATAAGTCGTTAACCATAATTCAGTCAATAGTTTAATAATTAAATCAGTAGTGTGGATGGTGGTTTGCTGTTCCCAGGGAAACTATAATCTGATAAGGTGTTAATGCCGTTCTACACAAAAGCAAGACACTGGCAAACAACCGCCAATAAAGCAGCAAATTCAGTCACACTTCAACAGAGGCTGAGACTATAATGCTTGTTTTATATGCTATACATGCAAACACACAACGGATATGTTTTTTTCCTTATGGCTTTCAGCAAAGGTTGATTACAGAAGGATGAGCAGAAGCGTCTTGTAAATTCACTGTGGGTTTGAAATACAAACACTTTGAGGAAGCATCTGTGGTTTGTGGTGCATCCAAGTGTGAACCTCACCTTCTCTGTAATATTTATTTTTCCATTCCCCGGGCAGACTCGAAAGGGAACAGATACTCCATGTCCTGAAGATCTGTCATCATATCCCATAGCTAAACAACACCTGTTTCTGAAAGCTTTGAATACTTGTGTTCATTCCCATGGCTTCATTCTGTGCCCGGGGGTGGAAGGCCAGGGGCCAGCCTCTTTCTTACTTTGTCGCAATTGTTGCTGTGAAGAATTGATGCGAGGAATTCTAATTGGAGATTGGTGAGTAGTCCCCCCCCCCGGTTGGGACGAGAATAGCACAGGCTCCAAGAGGCAGGTGAACCACATTGCACTCGGAGGTTAGGAGGTCATGCTAAACATGCAGGTTGCAGACCTCTGATATTGTTACTGAAGAGGTCCTGAAATTTTAGACACTGTTGTAAGGTAAAATAAAGGGTGGTTTTATATAAAATATCTTGTGGTTTTGGCTGACATTTTGTGAATATCCTATATGTTGAAAGCTCATTTTAATTTCAAAATGCCTGGATCCTTTTGCTCTGCACGTCCCTCCCTTGACCTCTCACAGTAAAATACACAGTTAAAGCTCAATAATACATATTTTCTTACTGTTATAAGCCCTTCTGCATGCCTAGAGCCAGTGAAGTGCAAATTGGAGTTCGCCTGCAGAGGCTTTAAGTGTTGTGTTTACTAATGGAGTCAGGGGAACAGCTACAGGCTACAGCAGCAGTGGAAAGCTTTTGCACCCCCCCCCCCCTCCCTTTTTAGTATCTGGCAGACGTCCATGTCAGTTATTGAAACCTAATGAAGCCTGTCTGACCATGATGAGTTTTGATTGTTCATGTAAAAGTGAAAGTCAGGCCTGAAATGAGATAAACAACATATTATTTGGGGGTGTTCAGCTTAGTGAGGGCTGTCTAACTGTGATGACATTGCATCAGATCGACAAGGGCACACTCAATGTTTGGCAGAGTGTTGATTGTTAGATAAGAGCATTGCCAAAGCTGGAATGTTGACAGTCCTGTATGTGATTATGCAAAAGTTGAGGCATCTTAATGGGTTTGGGCCACAAATTTGGCAGTTTTAATTTTAACAATGTTAATGAAAAAAATATATACATATTTTGTGTCCATGGTTTAAAATAAATATAAAATATTTTTATTTTATATAAATGTATATTAAAGTAGTAGTTCACTTTTAAAAAAAACTTTTGCTGATAATTTACTCACCCCCATGTCATCCAAGATGTCCATGTCTTTCTTTCTTCAGTCGAAAAGAAATTAAGGTTTTTGATGAAAACATTCCAGTATTTTCTCCATATAATGGACTTCAATGGGAACCAAACAGTTCAAGGTCCAAATGAGAGTTAAAAAAATAAATAAAAAAGTTTAAGTTTTATAAGCACAAATGCTCACCTTGCTCTGTTCAGTGATGAGCATTCATGACTCTCCTGTTCAAACTCGTTCATCAAAATTTAAGAAATCTTTTTTCGAGTCATGACTCGAAGGGTCCTAGATAAGAGCCTTATTCATTGTCTGGTGTCGTTTAAAGCCCTTTGAAGCTGCACTGAAATCTCATTTGGACCTTGAACCGTTTTTTTCCCGATGAAGTCCATTATATGGAGAAAATCCTGGAATGTTTTCATTAAAAACCTTAATTTCTTTTCAACTGAAGAAAGAAAGACGTGGACATGGATGACATGGGGGTGAGTAAATTATCAGCAAAAGTTTTTTTAAAAGTGAACTACTACTTTAATGTATTTTATATTAATATACAGTAGGAATAAAGCAAAATAAACACACAATATATATATATTAAAATATGGATATTTTACACAATCTCAAAGCCAGCTGTCGAGATGTTTCAGCATTAAAATTGTGAGATCAAAATCACTTTCTTGCTCTTATTAATAGCAATCAAGATGAGCTTGGTTGTCAGACAGTGTGAAAATGCCATATAGGCAAGCAGCAAGACACAGAGCAAGAATTTTGTCACCTCGATGTTCAGATCTCGTACACCTGCTGCACTGTGTCTTTCACAAGACGACAGAGAGGGATTCACACCCTTAATTTGTGTAAGCCAGGCTCTCTGCTGTGTGGAAAACCAATATGGTGTCAAAACTGCCAAGCCAATAGTGTTTCTCTCTCCCTCCTTTGGCTAGATACGGCATTAGGAGTCAGCTTAGTTGGCCAGTATAAGGCCTTTGTGTGGAGACTGGGGACAACACTGAACTGGAGTACTCAGGGAAACCTCATTTTAAGTGGTTTTTAGCAGGATCAGGTTCAAAATAGAAGCTTTGTGTGTAAACAGGAGAACAAGAGAAGTGACCCATGTGAATAGGCTATATTAAGCAAGCAAGCAGTGGGAGAGGTGTAATGCAAGGCTGTTAGGACTTTGTCACGACAAGGTAGGAGTTTTACCCGTTTCATTCAGTTCTTCGTATGCTAAGTATACCAGAAATGTGTGCAAATACTGTGTAGAACTATGATATATTAACCATTTTAATTGCAATTTAGTTTATTTTTATAGACTTTTTATATATTGAAAAACAGGTCTGCTAAAGAGTTTCTTTCTTCTGTTAAAAACAAAAGAAGGTGTTTTGAAAAAACAAGCAGTTTCTGGTCCCCATTGACTTTTTTTTCATAGAAGTCAATGGGGACCATCAGCTGTTTGGTTACCCACATTCTCTTTTGTGTTCAACAGAAGAAAGAAACTCATACAGGACAGGAGAGTAAAATGATGACAATATTTACATTTTTGGGTAAACTAACCCAAAACTAACCTTTAAGTTGTTTGTTAATTGTCACCTTTACTGAGGTTAATGTGTGAAGTATTGAGGTTGTATATGATCAAATAAATTTATGATGCAAAATATTTTCTGAGGCAAAGACTCGCAAGCTATCTTTCCCTTTAGAGGTGATTCATAAATAAAAACTGTGCATGATAAAGATAAATAAAAAATCTTGTGCTGCTGATTGACATTTGACTAGAGACATTTCAGATTTGTCAACGTTCAGCGAACAGACAAATCCAAATAGGCTAAATTACTGAGGATAATTACACTTATTGAAAGAACAAATCTCATTCTCAGACATCTCAATCCTTCACATTGCCTTGATTTTTGCCTCGTCCTTTTTCAGTACAAAGCTAAACATCCTAGGTGTGTTATTCTTTCAAAAACCACATTGCTATAATATTTTGTTTCATTTTGATTTTTTACTGTGCAGTTTTACCTTAATTCAGTGGATGTAGTTCAGAGAATGAATTGCTCTTGATTAAGACTGCATGTTGAATTCATATATTATTGTGCAGTCCAGTGTTTTTATCTGGGCTCTGATGTCGTTTGGCTCAGCTCTGTCCATTAAACTGAAGCAGAGTCAACGTCTGTCCATGCTGAGTGGGTAATTCCTAATTTGTGTTCAGGTCTCTGCACCTGCACCCTGTGACATGAAGCTTGACAATAGTGAAAGTGCCCTGCACACACCTGTCCTCTCACATCAGACCCTCTAGAGATGTAAATAAGCATGTTACCGTGCAGCTGTCACCTGTCTCATCATTTATTTAGTCAGGGTTATGTTTAGTTCTGTTTAGTTTCATATTCAGTCAGTTGTTACCATTTTGCCTGCATGTGTTCCCTAGTTAGTTTAGTTTCTATGCAAAATTCTTTCTGTTCAGTGTTTGGTCCCGTTTATGTTTATGTTTAAGTGTGGTTAGACCTGTTATATCTCCTGTGGCTTTTCTGTAGTGATTGTTTAGTTCATTAAATACTATATCCTTGAATCTCATTGTGCCATGCGATTAGGAATGGCTTAATCTCATTAAGCCATACCTAATCGTTACATTATCCTAATAAGTGTGAATTTAAATGACCTCGTACCCAAACATGTCTAGATTGTTCCACTGTTGTCCTTCATCGGAAATGGATAAAAAGCTGTTCTACAAATTCATTTGTGTCTTTATCAGTCGCTCTGTCTAAAGAGATTGTTAGCACAAATAATCATAAATCAGTCTCAATAAATTTTGGTGTTTTTTTCTCTTCTCTCTGCTTTAGGCTTTTGGAAGTGTGACGTAACGTCTAAATGTGACTAAATGCATCTCCAAGGAAACCTGAGCCCAACATATATACCATCCTGAAAATATCTGGTTATGAGAACTGGCACTACAAAAGTCCCTTGGTAAGTATAACTAGACAAATACAAAATATGAGTAATGGGTAAAGCAACAACATGATGAGCATATTTTTAATTTCTAAATTAAAATGAACCCTGAATTTTTTGGGAGAGATAAGGTCTGATGTGTCAGGGTAATAAAACTTGATGAAAATAAATAAGCCTAATTAAAATAATGAAATTCTTGCAAAAAAAAAAAAAAACCTTGTGTATAGTTTGTAATAATATATTCCTATTCATTCTTAGAAAAAATATTTTAACAAAATTGATTCAATGCTTATTAATGGTTAAGAAGATAGTTTTTAACTTTGATACATATATTTAAAAATAGCAATTTATTACATCAAATCAATGATTAATTTTTTTATTATTATTTAATGACTGGTGTAACCATCAAGTATTCCTTTCCTAAACTTCTTCAAAGTGATTCAAAATGTTTTTCAAAACCCCACGAAACCAACAAGAATACACCGATTACATTTATAAGATCTTGACATTATGATTTTAAAAAGATTTTCCCTTATTGTGGACACGCTTACAGTATATGTAATTTTCTTTTTTGCAGGAAGGAGGTAAGATGTTCATGGATCTGTGTGGCCAGCGGGGCGCATGGTCAGTCCTGCTGTTGTGGTGCCTAAACCTATCAGCTGCTGACCTCACCTGCCCGCAGAAATGCGCTTGTTACCGTGACACGTTGGAGGTCAACTGCTCCTCAAGACACCTGACGGGTGTGCCTGAGGTGTTACTCAGCAATGCCAAACGTTTAGACCTTTCAAGAAACCAACTGAAAACGCTGGCTAGGCGTCAGTTCTCTGGCCTGTCAAAGCTTGAGGACCTGGACCTGAGTGAGAACATCATCTCCATGATTGAGGTGGAAACATTTCAGGGGCTGAAGAACCTGCGATACTTGAGGATAAAGAACAACCGCCTGAAGATCCTCCCGGTCGGGGTCTTCTCCGGCCTCGCCAACCTTCAACGTCTGGACGTCAGTGAGAATGAGATCCTGGTTTTCCTGGATTACACATTCCAGGACATGACTAACTTACAGCAGCTCGATGCAGGAGAAAACGACCTGGTGTTTATCTCGCAACGGGCTTTTGTTGGGCTGCAGGCGCTGAAGGAGCTGAACGTGGACCGCAGCAATCTGACCTCCATCCCCACTGAGGCTCTGTCGCAACTTCAGAGCTTGACCAAGCTGCGCCTGCGCAAGCTGACCATAAGCGCGTTGCCCAACAATGCCTTTCGCCGACTGCACCAGCTGCGCACATTGCAGATCCTCCACTGGCCTTCTCTAGAGACGTTAAATAGCAACAGCTTGGTTGGTCTCAACCTTACCACTTTAGTTTTAAGCAACTGTAACCTTAGCTCTGTACCTTACGCTCCACTCCGCCATCTCGCTTACCTGCGGTACCTCGACCTGTCCTACAACCCCATCACCTCCATCCAAGGCCACTTGCTGGGGGAGCTTCTGCGGCTGCAAGAGTTGCACCTGGTAGGTGGGAGCCTGTTACGTATTGAGCCAGCTGCCTTCAGGGGTCTGGTCCACTTTCGTCTGCTCAACGTGTCCTCGAATCGTCTGACGACATTGGAAGAAAGTGTCTTCCACTCGGTAGGGAACTTGCAGACACTGCGGCTGGACAGGAACCCTTTGGCTTGTGACTGCAGGCTACTCTGGGTTGTGCGACGACGTCGAAGACTGGATTTCGATGGCCGCCAACCCAGCTGTTCGGCTCAGAATCAGCACAAGAAGGCATTTCGTGACTTTTCGGAGGCTGATCTTCCGGTTATATTTACGTGCAGACAAGCACAGATTGTGACCCGCCAGCTGCAGGATGCGAGTGTGGTGGAAGGCATGAGCATACGGTTTGACTGCAGAGCCGAGGGCTATCCGTCGCCTTCTATTTCCTGGATGTCAGCCCAGCAGACTGCACTTAGCTCTGTCGGGAGAATACGAGTGCTTGCTAATGGGAGTTTAGAAGTGCGTTATGCCCAAGTACAAGACAGTGGAACGTATCTGTGCACTGCAGCTAATGCAGCGGGGAACGACAGCATCTCCATGAGTCTGCAAGTTGAGGGGCTCCCACAAAACCGCACCGCATCGTATTTCTCAGACGAGGGATGGATGGAAACTTCATTGCCTCCTTCTACCAACTCCTCCACACGGGTGTCAAATCCTTACCCGTTTGATGCTAAAACCCTCATCATTGCTACGACCATGGGATTTCTTTCTTTCCTCAGCTCTGTGGCGATCTGTTTCGTGTTTATGTTCTTCTGGAGTCAGAGCAAAGGACAGATAAAACACACTGCCACTATAGACTTCGTGCCACGATCATCCATGGGTGGAGGTGGAGATGGTGGGGACACTGGGAGATTCACAATGAAGCTTATTTGAGCTGGAATAGAGAATAATTGGTCATGGTTACAATTAGTTGAGCCTTTTAAACTGTAGTAACTGTTAAAGTTGCCACTTGCCATCACAGCAAGGTACAAAGCCTTATGATAACTTATTTTGCAAGCCTGATTGACTATGTAAATAGGCATAGCAACTTATCTTTGTAATAATCTCATTCATATCGTGCTGGTCTGATTGACATTATTCTAAGTAGGTTTAAAGCTCCAGTCCGTAATTTTTGGGGTTAAAATTATTAAGTACTTAATCAGCCAGTGTTCAAAACTATCTGCTTGCCTTAGCTGGATTCGAAACGATAAGCTTGTAATAATGTTTTTAACTCCAGTGGTACTGGTGGATTTCCGCGGGAGATTCGAGCATGTCTTTGCGTCATTACATCACATCTGTACATATATAGAAGGAGTCTCGGCTAGTAGGCTATATTGCGTGTGAGGATGTTGGAGGTGCAGATTTATAACCTTTTCTCACAGCACTTGATAGAATTAAACTTATTAATTTGATGGCGGATCCAGAAAGGTTCAAACGACAATCACCAGTGACAACTACTGATTTACCCGCTGTAAAATGCTAAAGACTTTGGAGTGGCTACAGAAAAAAAGAGACTGCAACCGGGCCCATGCTAAAACAGGGGATAAATATCTGAAGGGCATTAAATGTAGTCACGCAATGCTGACATTGTTAACATTAACAATTTGAGAACAAAGTGTAATTTGCACGGTTTGACCTGATATGATAAGCGATCGTTAGATTTAATCAGCACGATTTACAGCAATGCTTTTTTCCCCTTAGTTGGTCAGAACAAAAGTGGATGTTTCTTACTAGTTCAGACAACATTTTCCAGTGAAAATTCTTATGTTGGTCATACTTCCAAAAAGTAGAGTCTGTGATTCCGAATGACAGCATCCACACCGGCGCGGTGACTGACAGCAGCACATTCTCCGCAAAACATTGTGTTCATCCACGCTGTGCCGAGGCACAACTCGCGTGAAGTTGATAATTTTGCGAATCACTGCAATTGCAGATTTCAAAGAGAGTTGGCGACAAAGAGGAAAAACTACGGACTGCAGCTTTAACTTCTCTTTATAATAATATTTTAGCTGAGAAGTTAGAAGTCAAATTTTATATAAGTAAGGTAGTCTAGTAGCTTGAGCAATTCCAAAGTCTGAAGATAAACAGCAAACACATGTTCTTACTGTTTGATAGTAAAAGTTAATTTAAGAAAAATATGAATAATAAATTATATATAACTTTTATTTACTATTAACTGTTATTAATAGTAAACTACATTTATTTACTAATATATATGTTATATGTGTGTGTGTGTAGTGTGTGTGTGTGTATATACAGTATATATATATATATATATATATATATATGAAGAGTTCAGATGCAAAAGCCTCTAAATGCCGTTTGAAATTTTCTTCTAGAATGATCATTTTTATCAAACTTGTATATTTAAGTTCAGTGATTTCACTTAAATGGCAATGATAATTACCTATTAATTGTTATTTAAGTGAAATTACTGAACTTAAATATACAAGTTTGATAAAAATCATCATTAAAGAAGAAAATTTCAAATGGCATTTAGAGGCTTTTGCATCTGATCTCTTCATATGTACATACATACATACATGGTATAGTGACTAATAAATAATTAAGCAGCTGCTGGATATTATTTTGGTGTGCCCTCGATTTGGTTTGTAAATGTTTTAGGCTCACAGCTCTTAGTATAATGAATTAAATCTCTTCCTTTGTAAGGGCTCAGGCACAGTTAGCCTTTAGAGATATTCATTTCACTGCCAAATTAAACCAGAACACGCCATGCGATGATGCATTTGACAACAGTTACAATGCAGTTTTAGATATTGTAATATTGTTGCACAAAATATATGCAAAAGACTGAAAAAAACATAGATCTATATATCTCTTAACAGCCTATTAACATCTATTGTAGTTTGTAGAAATTAAAACATTGCAACAGGAAATAAATGAATTTAACTAATAATCATTTTTAGAAAGTTAAGGACGATAAGTTATCGAAATGGATTGCTGTATTATATATTGTGTGTGATATTGTACATTACAGATGTTATATTTATAGGTTGCAGTAAGAAGGTCATTCAGAAATGTCTTTTATGCTTCTTCTTTTTTTCAGTATCTTTTTTTTATAAACATCATCAAGTAATGTTATGCCATGCCTGTGAGTCTTATGCACAAATGGCAATGTCATGATTGAACACATACAGTACATGGTTATTTACTTAAGATGCTTTGGAATTTATGTAATGTATATAAGTTATATTTCTACATTTTGATGTTTTTGCTAATGCATTTGTAAGTTATAATATTTTGCATTGGATCATTAAAGACTATGCAAGTCTGCCTGTTCAGAAAACCATCTTGTCTCAGTATTTTTACTCCACAGGGGTTCCATTTTAAACCTCCTCATTAAAAATTCAAGTACATTTCTAGGTAAAAATTAATTTCCGAGTCCTGGAAGTCTGAAGAATTTAGATACTGTGATCATATCCCTTTGTTACTCTGGTGCATGCAGTATGAAATTGTCCAGATGTAAGCTCCATCTGTTTCATCAAGGCACACCTATAACCTTGAGTGGCTGCAGTTTTTCTTTAGCTCATCTGATTGTGGAGGATATATGACATGAGATGTAAGAGAGAAGAATCTGTATAATTATCTGCATCCGTCATTGTCTTGTTTGTTAAACGGAGAAATAATTGTCTCCTGCTGCCTCTCATCTGATTACCTACGATTAATGTTTGATTTTACAGAATTTATGCCATTCATTCAGTCTAATAACAAAGTCAAATTGATACGTGATAGTTATGTTTTATTACACTGATGACGGATTAGTGTCTGAGAGTACAGGAAGAGACGGGGAACTCGCAGTGGTGTTTTAGTCAGGCTGTCGTTTTGTTGGACAGACAGTTCTCAAGCTTTAACTGGATTCTGCTGAGAGAGAGAGAGAAATAGAGCGAGAGAGTGAGAGTAAATAATTTCTGCTGTTGCCCAGAATAACCCAGAAAAAAAGATGATAATCACGTGTATGACCAGTGGTTTAAACCCTTCAGGATTACCTCTAGATATCTCAATCTGTTATATAGGTCTGTCTGGCTACTGCGTACTGATCAAATAAAAATGCTTTTTATTCTCCAAAAATGTGTTGCAATTAAACTACAACTAAGCTAACAGTTAAATAATCATTTCATTAAGATAAGAATTTTGTCATGTTTTTGTAAAATATACACAATAAACAAATAATACACATACTGCACAGATATAAAAGTGTGTGTGTGTGTGTGTGTGTGTGTGTGTGTGTGTGTGTGTGTGTGTTTGGAGTCCTACATTTACAGCTATTACAGTATGTTCAAATTTTCCTGTTTTGTATTCACAGATGTGAGGACTTATTTGTGCCACCACTTTGACCAAAATATGTCGCTTATGCCTTTTGGCCACTAGCTGGAGCCAAAGAAAGATATATAAAAGAGACAATAGCCTGGACTATACAAAACTGCATAAGAAGCTTTAAAATTGATGTCAGTTTACACAGACATAATTTAATCTTGTGATAAATGTGTAAATGTAACAGATTTCATGGTGCCTGAACCTGATGAACCTGATGAATAGGACAATAACATGGACAAGATGCAGAGTGAGAAGATTCTTATAGCTGATTCTGTCAAAACTGACACAGCAAACTTAACAGTTCACTGGAAAAACTGAAAATTGATTACTCGGAAAGTTAATCACTCGGACAGTTAATCAATTTCCAGTGTATCTTGGAAAAATCTGTAACAACAGCTCCCACACTTAGGAATATGGAAGAGCCATGGTATTGCTAATGAATATGACTATCTTACAGTAAGATATTACTAGGATATAGCTTCACTGACCAAGACAAAATGGAATCCAGGAAGCTTTCACCAGATCTTTTGAGTCAATGGTTGTTGTGTAAATGTTGTTAAGGGACATAGTATACCGATTTAACTGGTATACAAAAAATAGCCAAGTGTAGTAAAGTTTGACAAATTTAATGGCAATTATTGCAAGATAATGATTATTGTTATAAATATTCTATAATATGTATACGCATCATTGTCTTTCAGAATACTCTATTGTGATTGGCTGGAAGGTGTGCGTTCAAATAGTGTAATGCACAAGGAGTTCCAGTCAGTCAAACCACCCCTCTATATTAATGCGCTGCTTTCACTGAAGTACAAACACACACACACACACACACTACTGCACAGACAGACGCTGCACGCTCATCTCTCTCTCTCAGATATATCTTTGCCATTAACTTCTATATGCAGGGTATTTTTTGTGAAGGTTATTGGCTATTTGGCTACACTGGCTATTTACGTAACGTTACGCAGGGTTCCCCAATCTCGGCCCTGGGCCACTGTCCCTGCAGAGTTTAGCACCAACCCTAATCAAACACACCTGAGCACGCTAATCAATGTCCTCAGGATCAGTAGAAACTCACAGGAAGGTGTGTTTGATCAGGGTTGGAGATAAACTCTGCAGGGACATGGCCCTCCAGGACCTAGATTGGGGAACCCTGACGTAACGTTTCCACAGAAATGGAGGGACATTGGCCCTATAGGTACTAATTTCTAAATATTTAAATATTATAATGTTAGCAACACCACTGTCTAAATGTAAATTATAATATTTATATATCTATGAGATCTACAAACTGAATTGTGTTAAATTGTGATGTCAATACAAGCATTAAAATGCTTTAAATTAATAAATAAAATGTTGTCAATCCGCGTGAGCGCATGTCTGTTCGCCCTGTTCTCTTTCTTTCAGAAGGTGTGACGTGGGGAAGGCAATTACCGCTCAGATTCTCACAGAGGTCTGAGGGACAAGGCAGCGCCCGCTTCTAAACAACAACATTCTTATCTGAGACGAGGCTTATTTTATCGTGTCGTCGCTCAAATTAATTAAACATCTCTCAACAACATGAATCTACTCATTCTGGCGACTCTGTTCACCGTGATTTTGGCCGAAAAATCACCCCGGCTGAAATTTACCGTGATGGGTAAGGCTTTATTTTCTTCAATATAGTTTAATTCTGCGACGGATTCTGTGGAGAGGTCTGGAATTTTCTCGTTCTCGGTTTCTGATGTTAAGTTTACCCTTACTAAAGCGGGAATTGCAAATCTAATTTCCCCTCAAGAAAAAATGCTGCGTATTAAGCCTGGAAGTAAAAAAAAAAAAAAGTCCAGTCGCAATGTTAGTAAAATGAGGCAAGCTAAGATGAGGCTCTGACTGCTTTACATTGCTGTTTTGAAAACAAAACAAAAAAAACAATTGATGCTCACATGCACGTCATGACTTCACATCATGACGTATGTGTGCTATTAATCATAGTTAAGAGTACACAAGCCTAGACTAGCTACAATGACAAAATACAGTAAATGCATCGCATTGCAACTGACGCTGTATAAAAATGAAGCGTATAGTGCCAATGCCAACATATAGCCTATGTAGCCTAAATAGAACTGATGGTTCATACAATGATGCTGAAAGATTTTTGCCTGTGTAGTCATAGTAACAACTCCCGATTCCGAAGATATATTATGGGTTGGTCAAGAGTGAGTGGTTGTAGTAAACACACTCCTGAATCTTCCTGGAGGCTACTGAATAATTTTTTTTTTCTAAAACGACCTTTCGTTTTCTATCTAAACTTGTAAATGCATCGAATGACATTGCTGTTTTGAAGCAATTTTCCTGTAGAATACGCAGCAAGTGGGTTTGTTTTAAGAAAAGCAGGACGCAATATACAGAGCTGCAATGCAGGTGCGTGAGCTAACGGGAATGATGGCACTGCAGCAACTGATAAATTTCCAAAACACAGGGGTACAACATGCGATCCAGAGAAAAATGCACTCGCATTGTAGAATAGCCCATGGAAAATTCCACGAGACCCACATTTGTTATTCATTCCACGTTCACAGACTTCTATGTGGATACAAACAGTATCATGTATTTGTTTAAAAACATCTGCATGTCTCACGGCCATCCCCTCATTGTTACGGGATACTAAAACCTCTCACAAATAAGAAATGAGAAACCGTGAGAGCCAAATATATGTGACACCATTGAGCTTGGTTTAACCGCGCATTTCAGCACCACGGACAGCAATCTCTTCAATTCAGCGCACGTCTTCTTGAATCACCAAGGATGCGATCGGGAGACAAATTATCTGATGAAATAAAGTGTTATGGAAAACGAGAGCTGTATATGCAAATAGAAACCGGCTCAGACTGGTCTGCAGGCGTTTTCGACCTCTTCAGCCCCCCCTTCGAATAGCCAGTTATTGGTTGTGCTGAAATCTACCAGCGCAGACCGAGACAAACACCTGTTGCAACGTATTAGTTTTATGAAATAATAGCGAAGCTCCTATTTATATAATGCTGTATCAAAACAATTTTAATTTTACGGACAACCAAATTTGACAGTATTCTCCATTCAGGTCAAATGAAAAACGCCCACAATAGAGACTACGGCATTTGAGCTAATCATTTAAGATCTGTATTTCTCAACTGGTTTTGCTCTAAAACACAGTTTTTACTGTGAAGATCAAGGGATAGCATTTAAATAATATGACATAATATTTACCACAACATTTAACAAAAGCACAGGTCCAACAATATATAGAGCAGTATAAAAGGAAAATTGACAATTTTGTTTATGCACACAACTGCAAAAATGTGATGACCAAGACTGGACTATGTTATACTTAACTATTAAAACAAAGTGATGATTTGGACCAAACCACTATAGATTTTGAATGCACAGCCTTTGATCTAAACAAAAAAAGATAAAGGAAGCATTTATTGCATTTACATGGGCTCATATAAGAAGCGTTTATTTTTTTTTTATTATTCACATTTTTATGGCTACTTGTGTTATTTGTATTGTGTTTTCCCTGTGGCCCATTTTTTAATTGCAACCAACCATCTGAAAACCACTGATTTAGTGGACATACATTATTCATTCGAGCAAGATGTGAACATATACAACACCCTGTTTATACACTCCATTTCTGCATTTCATTTGTCTTTAGAATCCCCTAGGTTTCGCTTCATGAAACCGGAGAACTACACCACGGTTTACCACCAACAGGAAACAGATGTCCTGTATGTGGGGGGCCAACGAGTCATCTATAAGCTCAGCTTCAGTGATAAAGGAGTGCATGACAAACAGGTAGGGGGGATGACACCATAACCTGGAGCTAAAGTAGATCTATCACTGCTCTAAATCCTGACCTAGATACTGTAGCTGGTACTCGGCAAGTATCAAAACTGTGGTATTATTTATGGAGCAGAACAATGTCTTATAATGGAGGTAATACTGGTTGCATAAAACCAAGCTTTTCTTTGCAATGATGGATAGCTACAGCTTCTTATCATTTTACTATAGCCATAACATTTTATGTTCATTGTAATTATAGAATATACAGTAGCTCTGAAATGATGAGAACAATTCATCCCCACATTTTTATGCAAGGCTGCATGATTAGTAATGTTGTTGATGTGCTCACAGATCCCTGTGGGAATGGATGAGAATGCAAAAGCGAAGTGTGTCTCATCAGCATGGAAGGTAAGATCGACAATCCCACAATATTCAGTCAGTTCAGACCTCAAACTTGGCATTTCAAGCGAAGAAAAGGATTATCTTAACTCATTTAAACCGTGCGATTCAATTCATTCACAAGAAGTGAATTGCACAATGTGTCCAGTTATCCATTTCTCATAAATCCACTGTGTGAATTACACACATCAGGTTAAATAGTGAATTCTGAAAATGACTTTAATCAGAACATTTATGAACGTATTTCCCAGACGCTCCTCAGCCTGGCTGGATTCACTGCCCTGGTTCAACATCTACAGAAATAGTCATCCATGATGAGCAGGTCATCACTCAGAGTTGACTGAATGAGGCTATTTTTTAAGGGTAATGGCACAGACAGAAAGCCAACACATGAGTGATGGGCTCCTTTAAAATAAAATAAAAAGATGGTTGTTGGGGTGTTCATGTTGAAGTTGCAAATACAATTAGTATAGAAAAAGGAAAAGTAAAGAGCCTCTCCAAGCCCACAATTAGATGGCATACTGTATTTAGCAACTATATTATTTCTATAATTTATAATATGTGATGTCTGTATGTTTTGCATTGACATTTATCATGTTTTTTCATCTTTAGGAAGAGTGTGATAATTTCATCTCAGTAATTGAGAAAGTCGGTGATTCATTCGTGGTGTGTGGGACAACAGCGGGTTCTCCTAAATGTTATCTCCTGGTAAGATGCCTTACCCGCCATTGCATATGCAACTCTCACAATCCAGAAGCAGTTTAAACTCCATCTGTAAGCAAACCACAAAAGTGTTTAAGATTAGGACATGTTCCTCTTTGTTAGACTTCAAGATACAGTCTAAGGCCTTGTTCCAAATGGCACCCTAAACACTCGCTCACTTAAAGGCAATTCTAACGAAAAAATCGAAACACATTATAAATGTATTGCTAAAACTTATTACAAAGACTGTGAACTGAAGTAGTACTGAATTGTGGAGTTAGACCGTTAAACATTTTTCACCATTGCTGTGTTTTTTGGGCGGGGCTCGATAATGGGCTCTATGTACGGTGGTATTTCCGGTGAAGATGTAAGGATGCTCGATAACTTCCACCGATCGTAGAGTCCAATGCAATACCGAGAATTTATATTGAATTTTATACTCCATGTATAAAATTATACTAAATGAACGTTATACTAAATGAACGTTAGTCGCAAAAACAGATAAAACAGACACCCCTCGTTGTGTTTATGCTTCTTTTTAAAATTATATTAAATAAACATAACTATATATAAAACTACATCTAAACGTATGTACGTTTTGTTTCAAAGACGGGAGGACAGTAAATTTTGAAGACTCTGCCATAATCCCGTTTTCCTCGGTTCTCCTCCGCTTTAATCTCCACAACCGGAAATGGACGAGCATCCTTGCGTCAATTCGGAACTTATGCGTGCATATAGCCCATACACTGGAGCCCCTGAGCTCGTGGACACGCCCCTACTTGATGACGCACTGAGGCGAGCCCCTCCCCTAACAATAGAGAACATTCACATAAGTTTGACGCTAAATCGTGAGTTACAGTCAGTAGTACTATTATTAGTTACTACAGCATACAGTTTGCTAGCTAGGTATGCCTTTGTCACGAAAATACCTTGGCTACTACCTGGATGCGATCACATACAAAATAGATCGGTGTCCTTATTTCATTTTCCTAAAAATGATCACATCAAAGAGGTGGAATAATTTTGCGAAGAGGCCAACCTTGATGGAAATCTGATCCACCACCAAAACCCGCCTCTGTAGTGATCATTTTACACAGGATAGTTTTATAAACTTTCGTCGGAGACAACTGGGATTCACTGATAATCCACTGTTACTGGTGAATGGGGCCGAAACAAGCAACTATCTCCCGCCTCGGTCTTCATCCTCCCGTTCCGAAAGCAGTACCACCTGATATCACCATCGGCAGCTTTCCCGCGAGTGGGTGCCGCCAGCGAAAACGCCCCGAGCGTTTGAGAGCTGAGAATAATGCTCTTTTTTTTTTTTTTTAAGATTTTGATAGTTTATTTTATTTGCTTGGCGGCTTTTTTATCATTTGGCTGGGTGGCTAATGACATATTTTTCTGTGGTGTCACAAACTCAGAACACTCTCAGAAAAAAAGGTGCGAAAGCTGTCACTGGGGCGGTACCTTTTCAAAAGGTACACTTTTAAAGGGTGCATATTGGTACCTTCATGGTACATATTTGTACAATTATGGTACCAATATGCACCCTTTAGGTACAAAAGTGTACCTTTTTGAAAAGGTACCGCCCCAGTGACAGCTTTTGTACTGACTTTAAGTCTTTGAGAATCGACTGAAACCTAAAATGACAAATGGGATGTCATTTTAGGGAAAATGACAAATACATTTTGGTCCAAAAATAACAAAAACTACGACTTTATTCAGCAATGTATTGTTTTCCGGTTCTGTTGTCAAGCCGCTTTCAGTGATGCTGATGACATAAGACGCTGCTGGGGTGTTATCAGTGTAAACAAAACAATCTTCGCAAACACGTCTAAGGATTTTGACGCAGAGGAAGACTTGCATTTTTTTGCCCAGCCATATTTATTTGAACCTGAATACACGGGCGCACCAGATAAAACATCATCAGCGTCACCGCGGACTCATAAACGTGGATTGACAACAGAACCGGAAGACAAATAAAATTCTTACAGGCTTGGAACGACATGAGGGTGAGTCATTAATGACATAATTTTCAAAGTGTGCCATTTGGGGAAAAAAGGGCTTAAAAGTGCAGAAACAAACAAAGAATAGATGTGCACACCACACCTGCTAAATGCAGACATTTCATGTTTATTTAAAATAATAAATTATGTTGCGAAGACACTTATCCAATATTAATATAATATATTAATATATTTCACACGCTTTAGGATTTTCTGTGGTTACATGAGAAAGCGAAGGAAATAAGATCAGTTTTCCTTCTGAGCTCAGCTGCGTTGACAAAATTCAGGCTGTTAACTTCTGTATTATTGTGAATACTTTTATAACCTTTGTGTGTCTCTGCTGTGAGTGTGATTTATAACCGAATCATTTAACAGTTCCAACAGTGCTTAGATTAAAACGACAGAACTGAAAGTAGTACAATAAAATGTGAGTTTGACATCCTGAAATGTGGGACACACAATAATATTTTGTAAAAAAAAGTGTTCTGCTAAAAGTGGTATGATTTCTCCAAGTGGTAGAGTGTCACTGCTGTTTCCTTAAAGCCTGAGAATTACTGAATAATCACATCATCTCTTTTATCCAGGTAAATGACAGTATACTGATAGAAATGCCGGCGGAAACAGCAGCGTCTAACATCTTGGCACCTTTCCCTTCTCAGCGCTCCATCAGTCTGTCAGCAGGTACATAGAGAAAGGAGAGGAATGGAGGAAGGGATAAGGAAGGAGAGAATGTTTTGTTCATATTTTTTTATTTAGTTCTTTCAGTTGAATAGGTAGTTTCTGAAGTAGAGCACTGTAATGTGACATGCTCAAAGCTTCAAATCTTGTCAGATCTCTTTATAAAATACAGTATCTCAGAGGTTGATTTCAAAAAGATCAACACTCCCAGTAGCATATGACAAAAAGAGATCTTGCCCTTTTCTTTAGTGTTTTAAATGTCAGATACAAAGTTGAGTATTTCACATGCCATGTAAGTTAGCAGAGCTGAAAGGTCAACATTGATTCTGAAAGAAATTGCATGTCTCAACAATGTCTCCATCTGTCAGTCAGAAGTAGATCACAGTGCTGCTGCCCTCTTTTTAACTTTGAGTATCAAAGTATTGCAAACATTGTTAAATTTAAATCAAAGTTTCAGAAAGTTTCAAGTCTTTGATTTGACAGGACTCACCAAGGTTTGACTCATGGATATACTTATCTTTCTCCTTATTTAGATGGGAATCTGTACTCTGCTCTGTCAGCGGTTGCAGGACAGCCTGGCTCTATCCGTCGCACATATGGCTCCAAAAAACAGCTGAAGTCAGAGAATAAATGGCTACTGAGTGAGTTGACTGTTGTTATATATATAGTGCATTAGCAGACTTGATGGACTGAGCAAATGTATGTCAGCTTAAAACAGAGTTTGTTTAAAAACCTGGTAAAAAAAAAATATATATATATATATATATTTTAAATGTTTTCAAAACATGTCTCTTATGTAAACAGTAATATGATGGAACATTATTACATTTTCTGTTATTCTTGACTGTGATGGTAAAGCTGAATTTTCATTAGCTTTAGTGTCACATGATCCCTCAGAAATCAGTCTAATATGCTGATTTGCTGCTTTATGCTGAAAATATACTGAAATCAGCTGCTGATTTCTTATTATTATTGATGTTGAAAATGGTTATAATGCTTAATATTTTTGTGGAAACCGTGATTATTATTATTTTTTTAAGAATAACATTTGTTTGAAATGTATATACTTTTTGTTATAATGTAGAAATCTTAGCTGTGAAACAGAATCTTATGACATTCATGCAAATTATTACTGTAATTAAACACTATACTGTATATCTCTATATAATTAAACACTATACTGTATATCTCATGAATGGTTTACTTAAATCTCTACATAATAAACCAGAATAGCATAAGTTGCAAACTTTTTTTTTCCGAAGGCGTGGCAAAGAAGGCAAGGTAGTTTGTTTAACTAGATTTAATTTTGTCTTATATAGGATTATGTGTTTAGGTTGATGTTTATTTCAATATATACATTTATGTATGATTATATACATGTATGTCTATGAATATACAGGTACTATTATCACTTTGTTCCTAATTCTTGTCTCTATTTGGTTAGTTAGGTATATGATGTACCCTTGGCTATCTTGTTTATGAATTTTTCTCATATTTCTGTATATTATTGTGGTGCCTTGTAAGCCCATGTGGGCTGGGTGTACAGTATGTATACGCATGACACAATAATAAAGATTCATTCATTCTGCTCTCAACCTGTCTCTCAGATCCCCAGTTTGCAGGAGCCGCTGTGATACCACACAAAGAGAAACTCAAAGATGAGATCTATTTCTTCTTCAGTGAGGTCAACACTACAGCCAATCTAGATGAAGAGCCTTACAGGGCTCGGATAGGACGAGTCTGCATGGTAACACGCTCTTAATTCAGTCCTGCTTCAGATACCCTGCTGTAGGTTTCTGATAACCTTTTGCATCTGTGGCTCAGGTTGATGAGGGTGGGCTTCAGAATGTGCTGCAAAACTCCTGGACCACATTCCTGAAGGCACGTGTGATGTGTGGGAAAGCCGGAACTCCTGTGCAGTACAACAACTTCAAACAGGCCTTCGTTCTGACCTCTCATCTCCGCACTGGGTTGATATATGGCCTCTTCTCCAATGCCTGGTAAGCAGATATGTGACCCTGGATCACAAAACCAGTCACAGCACGGGTATATTTGTGGAAATATCCAACATTACAATGTATGGGTTAAAATTATCGATTTTTTTAATGCCAAAAATCATTAGAATATATAGTAAATATCATGTTCCATGAAGATATTTGGTAAATTTCCTACTTTAAGTATATAAAACATTTCTCTTTTTGTGAGTGAATGCAGCACAATCATTAACATAAATTGACAAATTTAAAGGTAATTTTCTCAATGTTTCAATTTTTTTTGCACCCTCAGATTCCAGATATTCAGATTATATCTTGGCCAAATATTGTCCTATAGTATGCTAACAAACCATACATCAATGGAAATCTTATTTATTCAGCTTTCATGCGAGTATACATCTCAATTTGAAGATAAAATTGACCCTTGTGGCTGGTTTTGTGGTCCAGGGTTCATATATGAAGTTTAAAAGTGAGTAGGAATACATTTGACATCATGCAGTTAGATAATGCCTTTGGCAAGACTTCATTAATCACCATAAAATACATCTCTATAGATTTTTTGAAGATTTTCAGTTGTGCTTACTTCAAGCTTTCCTTTATATAAACCATATTGGTACTGTATTGGTATTATACTGATTAATATGATTTTAATTGGGAATGCTGATTTCTCCTGTTTTTACATTAACATTTACTGAAAGCTAATCTTTTAAAACAATATTTCTTTACTCTGATGAATGTAATCTTTAACAGATCTCTGAATGAATATCCATACTTGATTAAAATTTGTTTTCCATGTTTGTGTCTTCCTAGGAACACCACAGTAGTGTGTGCGTACTCCATTGAAGACATTGACAGTGCCTTTTCTACATCCAAACTCAAGGGCTACAACTCACCTTTAGCGGCCCCACGTCCTGGAACGGTAAAGCACACCGAAAAATCAACCAAAGGCAGAATTATGTGCAGATTCATTTTGTTATACATATTACATTCAAAACATTAAATACTATCCTACAATTTCCTAATACAAAGGCACAACCTGTTTTTTCATTTGTGTGGTTCGCCTTTATCCAGTGTGCTTTCAGGAACAATACTCAGGCTCACAACCAGAAGATCCTGACTGTGATCAGAGATTACCCTGAGATTGAGGATATGATCAGTCCGGTTGATGAAACTCCTCTGGAACTGCCAGTTCATGACCACTTCACACATCTTGTGGCAGACACAGTCTTGGCTGTCAATGATGAACACTACAGCGTCATTTATCTTGGCACAGGTATTCTGAATCATGGGGGTGGGGGGTGCACTGATATTGTAACATCGGCTGATACTTAGAAATGGCCGATTTTAAAGGCACACTATGCTGGAATTATGTTTTTGTCAAACAGCGACCCCTAGAGTCACTGTGGAGTACTTGTATTTAACGTTACTGTTGAGGCTATTCAGTAGGCCTCTGCATAGACGGCATGGTGTTCCCAGCGAGTAGCTGAAAATTCTGAGCTCTCTTTGGGTGGTGTTCCCGTTTATTATAAAGGTACAAAATGGAATAATTTACATAAAATGGTACTTCACCCAGTGCTAAGTGCTGTCGTGCTGTTGGTAAAATGGGTGCTCACGGCTACTGAAAGTCCACACCATCCACACTTTTTCCTAACTAATTGCCACACCTGTAAATATATCTAACTCCCAGTGATGTGTCACACCCAGTGCAACACTCCCACCAAGTGGCAAGTATAAGTAATAGCAATATTAACCTATCCAAAAAAGTTGAATATCTAAATGGTTCTTACATTTACTGTCGTAAATACCACTCATGCAGAGCGCTTCTGCCCTCACAGCCAAATACCCCTTTGAAACTGTTATATTAAGGTACAAATCTTGCATAGTTTGCTTTTAAATAAGAGATCTAGGGGGTGTTTATGGGTAGGCCTACTATGATATTAGACTACATGGCCTATAAAAAAAGATAATGAATTTCAAACCTGAACTAAACATTTTTTTTTCAAAGATCAACAGTTTGTCATTATTCTTTAGTCTGCCACTAAAAAACGGCATGTTGTGGTTTCAGTACACCAGCCATGTCAACAAAACGAATGAATGTAAATTTGCTTATCAATGTATAGCCTATCTAAATTCATGCCTACATCTTTGTAGAACTTCAAAAAAAGAAAAAGAAAAGATACTGCAGCCAATGAGCCACCAGCGGGGGCCGACTCAACCTCCACGGACAGTTTTTAAAATTCTATCAGACAATAACTACTCAAGATTTGGACATCTGGTCTCCTCTTGGACGCACTCTTCTATCTATCGCTGTTGCGGACTCTCCATATTCATTCTGTTGAAATCACAAAATAAAATGCACACAAACTTGGAAATTTACTAGATATTTACTTACTAGTCCATCAACAAGATCGCCAGGTCAGCATCACTGTTGCATCCAGTGCTGCTTTTTAGCTCATGCCAACAAGTGAAAAGCCCCATCTATGGAAAAGCCTGACCGAGTGGGACTCTTGTCTGGTTCCTTACACGGTCAGCATTTGTCGGGCACTCCTCTCAAACTTGCATTGCTGGTTTTTCCAGCGGCGTCCCCCCAAGCTTTACTACCAGGATGATTCGCCCTACTATGAGATTGTTTACCATCAAAATTACTCTAAAGCCTTTAACCCCTCTGTTTGCCTTTAATACTCTATACTATTTCGCCTAAAACTTTTTAAATGGTACAAGTGAAATTAGGCATCACAACATTATATAGTATGAAAATGGAAATGACTAAAGATGATATTTAACAGTGATATTCATTTATTAGTGTTTTTGAAGATTAAGTGTTAGATGGCTGAAAATGTAGAAGTACAACAACAATTAAATATCCAATATTAAGTGATACCGGTAAACAAAAACAAATCTCTGATAGACAAATATTTAATTTGCACCCATATAATTTATTCTCATTCTATTATTGTTTTTCTATCTTTTCTAATGCTATTTTCCTGTGTCTCCTGTACAGAAAAGGGGAAAGTCCTGAAGGTGCTCCATGCCATAGAAGGAGCCTTTATCATAGCACAGTATTCTTTATTCCACGATGATAGCCCCGTCATTAACATGGCAATTGACTCTAAAAAGGTACAGACCCACATTTTTAATGATGTGAACTCACTAAAACAGGCCAATAATTTTAGCCTGCAGTGGTAGGACATTTTATTCCACTGAAATATAATTATATATAGCTTTGAATTACTATTTGCACTGAGAAAATAATTCAAAGGCTGTTCACATAGATCCAGATGGCTCCTTTCACCTCTGAATTCTGCTTTTTGCCAGGGTCATCTCTACATTGGCACAGAGCTTGAAGTGCAGCGCATCCCCCTGGCTGACTGTGGTCGATATGGAGTAGGCTGCAGGGAATGCATCCTTTCACGAGATCCATATTGTGCGTGGGACAAGTCCAAGAGGAAGTGTACTGCTATCCCAGCAGGCCACAACATTAGCACTGGGTACATATGCACTCACACATATCACACAATTATGCATTACTGTTTTTTTCTGACAAAGTAACCTAAGTTTAAAAATGTATTCTCTTTTTTGAAATCAGGACCCTTATTCAGACTCTTGACCACTCCAGTGCCTCAGTCTGCGGCGATGCTCCAGGTAAATTGTCTTTGAGACTTTTAAAGGTGCCATTTTTCTTGTTGTATCTCTGAACCCTTAATGGCCTGAACCCTTGGAAAGTTTTCAAAACAGTTTCAGCTTCTTCCCAATGAAACCCATTTTTGCATTTTTTTCTAAATATAGTTTTTTTTTAATCACTTTCCATATAATATTTTAATACTATAAAATATAATGGGGGGGGGGGGCTCTCATATACAGAGCCACATCAATTAACAACTACGCAACCCTAGCATTGAACTAGCAGGGGAAACAAACACCAATTAAGGGGCGTGGATGTGTTCAAAAATCATTTAAAAGACCACTGGTACAGTAAAACATTAGTGGTCGCAAACAAGGCCACCAATTTATGAGCAAATTGGTCAAAGGAAACAGAAAAAAACAGGCTCTCGTCACTGAACTGTGGTGCACCAGTAGTTGGGCAGGCTAAGCAGTGGTCAACGCATGCAACAAATTCAAAACACACACACTCCAGTGAAATCCACTGCAGAAAACCTACACCGCACACTCTTGGAAAAGGACAGTTTCCATACATCCTCCAAGCACAGCCAATCTGCCCACTTTGGGTCAACCATCTAAAAAAAAAAGAAAAGCAATAAAAGCAAATGACGCAATATCCCGCAACTCTGGAGATGCCCTTTATACACTACACCCGGTTAATAATCATTGGGCGGAGCTATCTATAAATAGCACTTCACCACATATACTGTACATTCATTTATAATATAAAATAAATAAAGATTTTTACATTGTTACAAAAAAATCTTTCAACTCATCAATGAATAAAAAAAAATATTTATTTCCGTTTCCAAATAAATATCAATCTGCACAGCAGTTTTTGACATTGATAATAATAAGAAATGTTTCTTGAGCACCAAATCAGCATATTAGACTGATTTCCGAAGGATCATGTGACACTGGAGTAAGAACTGATGAAAATTCAGCTTTGCCAGCGCAGGAAAAATTACATTTTTTATCTTTTAAATCTTTTAAAATAGAACACAGTAGGAATTGTACAAATATTTCACAATTTTACTGTATCTTTGATAAAATAACTGCAGCCTTGGCAAGCAAGAGAGACATGAAAACATTACAAATCTACTGTAAACTCTAAAAATAAAAGTATTTTTTATTAAAAATGGTTTCAAATAAACTAAAAATGTTTCCTATAATTGTGGAATACAGCTCATAAGGCACGTAGCACCATCCCCAAACAAGTTTTAGTGGATAAAGATGGACCGGTCCTGCTACCGTGCCCAGTGCGATCCTACCATGCCACTTACCGCTGGGAGAAAGACAACTGCGTCAAGGAGTATCCTTGCACCATCTCCGGCTCCTCCTGTGTGCTGGCACCCACCCCTGACCTGCCTCTAAAGGAGGGTGTGTTCCGCTGTCTGGCGGAGGAGAATGGCCTGCAACAGGAGGTGGTGTCCTACAAGCTAGTGTTCAACGGCGGACCACTCTCCACCTCGCTAGCCTCCACCCTGGGGTCGGCTCTGCTGCTGGCTGCCGCGGCACACTGGCTCCTGTAGATCCAGTGAATCCTGAGGGGTCGGAAGGAAAAACAAATTTATGCGAAGGTCAGCAGAGCATGAGTACCTAGACCGGTCCTACTAAACTGCAGGGGAGCAGCTGGTCTCTATATAAACTGTGTTTCTTGTTTCTTATTCGGAGCAATTCTTTTCTTTGAAGGGCCGAGAAAATGCCTGAAATTGTCTCAGTTTGCAAAATGCTTTATCATACCAAACACCAGTGTTATGTATTACATGAACTTAAGTGTACTGTTTCATGCCCATCAGCCTAAAAACAAGCATTTAGACTTATATATTCAAATATCTAATACATGAGATGTGTACATTGCTTGCAAAATGTTAGTGCCATCTTTCAGATGTTTCAAAAGACTGCTTTGCTAACTACACTTAGACATGGAATCCAGATCAGTTATTTAACTTGGTTAGGTTTCTCGTTAACACTTTATAGAAAGATTCAATTCACTTTAAGGTGATGATACACAAGGCAACTTTTTTTGCTGGGCAATCTTGAAAATTGAAAATGGGCAATGCATTTCTATCTGGATAATTTAGATTGGTTGTGGGCCCTGTGTCTCATCTGGTTGCCTGTTGACAGCAACATTACCCAGCAGCAACATTGCTCAAAAAAGTTGTATCATCACCTTTAGTTGATGCATTGGGTATCATGAACTAACATTTTTTTTTGACAGTATTTTGTTAACTAGGTTAATGTTAATTTACTGCTGTTTAACATTAAACACCCTTATTAATTGTAAATATATGTTTGTTCATAATACATGAACTAGTGTTCATTTATACAGCTTAAAATGCTAAAAATATATGCGTCTGTAAGAAATTAACATTCAATTAATTATGTGTACTGACCATTGTTAATTCACATTAGCTAATGATTTAACCAAATTGAACCTTATTTTAAAGTGTTATTTATTCGTTAAAAAAAGTGAGAACATGCTGAAACATGAATTTGTTGTTATAAATCGTTTTATTTTTCCATTGTGTGCCATTAGAACATTTCTGAAGCCTTAAAACAAGGATGAGTCCGTAAGGGTCACATTCTAAGCACAACCTGCAAACTGAGCAGAACCTGCAGAATCTGCTGGCTTTGTCTTTCCACCTGACACAGAATGTTATTTCAGCATGATTTCAGAAGTACAGCTGATTTGTTTGTGCCTGTTTAAGATGTTTGAAATACTTATCAGTCACTGCTAGGAATGTGAACTGCATAAACGATACAAAACCAATACAGATTCAACTTTTTTTGGTCAGCGTAAACAGGAAGAATAACCAGAATCCATAAAACCAGATAGTTTATCTCGGTATGCCACTGTGTTTACAGTAACAGACATGAACTCTCTTGCATCCTTGACGCCTGTGATTTTCATGCTCATGTCATTACATTTTGCGTTCTAGTAAGCTTCAGTACACGTGAAATGGAGTTGCATTTTGTAGTTGCAGTGTAAAGAGGCTTAATTATAATGTTGTTTTAATTGTAAAGCTCTGCATATGCTGTTTTTCACCATTGCTGCCTATGGGAATAGAAAGCATTCCTGATGGATCTAAACAGTCATTCTGCACTAAGGTGTTCTGAGTGTAAATCTGTCACCATATTACGTCATATCATTTTATTTGATCATCACTTCAGCGATAAAACTTTATCTTATACACGTTACAAAAAGGGAAAAATAAGATACTCGTACAAGAACTTTCTAACTAGCACATAATCGTCTCTAATCTTCACATGCACCTCTCTCTCTCTCTCTCTCTCTCTCTCTCTCTCTCTCTCTCTCTCTCTCTCTCGAAGCAACTGACCCCAAATGCCAAATTTGTCTTTAACCTTGTTCTTTCCACACTGTATTTTGGGAGGAGGGATGAAACAATGGTGTTATGAATGAATTGATTAGTAACTAACCAAAAGTGCATTGTGTTTTCAGAAGATGGACTTTTTTTTTTGTTTGTTAGGTATTGTGCCATTCATTTTCTTGCTCTATTGGTGACATAATCTGCCAATTTAATCAAAAGTTTGTTTTGTACTTCCATATGGATCTCTGAGTTGATGTTTGGGCATCACAAGATATTTAAAGTTTCCTATAAGCCATGTAAATAGTCCAGGGACTGCTTTACACATTATTTATGCTAGTGTGTGCTAACCTTCTGTTTGCATGCAGAATGCCACAGCACTGTTGCCCTCTCTGTGTACTCGTACCTCTGTCTCTTGGCCTAATGTGCTTACACTGCACTAAATGCAGGAACGTTGTAGTGCCAAACCAATGTTGTGTCATTTTCATCAGAGAGCTTTTCTAACTTTTCCACTGTGCTTCAAAGCCAAACGTTTACCTTTCCGAGACACAAATAGCAGAATCTAGATTCTCTCTCTCACACACACACACACACACACACTAAATCACTTTTGGCAGTGTAAATGACACAGGGTCTTTCCATTTAGATCAAAATCAAATACTGTAAACAACTGTTACATGTTTATTTTATTTTTTTGTACTCTGTAAGTGTTGCGAGGCCAATGTGTTTTTATCGTCTGTCATTTGCAATGCATTGTGTTTTTTGCCCGAGACTTGTGGCAGGGAGTGTTTTCTCATAGGGACGCTCAGCACGGTTTACTGCTCAAAGCATCTTGCAGTTGTGTAAGCTTGCACTTAATAATTCATATTTATAACTGGTTAACAAAAGTCAGCAAATTTTTTTTCTAAAGGGGTTGAAGACATTGTAAAATACAGAAACGTATAATTATACATGAAATGTTTCCCTGAAAATGTGCATTAAAATAAATAACAAAAATGTCTACTATATTTATGTTTTTTTTTTTTTGTAAAGATATATGTATTTACTATTTTAACATGTACAGTACATGGAACAAACTTGCAATTGTGCAGTTTGCGCTATTGTGGTTGTAAATTTTGCTTTTCACCAAACCATTCCTTCAAAATTGTGAAATGTAGTCTAATGAAAATATTGGTTAAATCACCAAAACGAAACAGAATGGGGTTTTTTTTAACGGTAAACATAGCAAGATGTTTTCGATTGTGAAAAGAAAATTTATACAGTATAAAGTTAAGTATTTCTTTATTAAATATTTTTTTATTTATACTCACATAAGTTCAAACAGGGAAAACAGACAAAAAAAATACCCCTCTGATTTATGAAACATGTTAAAACTATTAAAAACGCTGTTAACTTTGCTGCTACTAAGGCAAATCAATTTGGGAGTTACCTTGGCAAGAAGCACCCATCATGTCTCAACCTGTTAATATAGCAGATGTCTTTGGCAAAGGCAGACAGTGCACTAATTGCAGTGACATTTTCGGAGGCCCATGAGGCTGTGTAGGGCTTAGGAATTGAAACCAAGTACACCTGGCTGCAACCAGCATTTACTCTGATTGGCTCATCCATCTTCAATAGAAAAAAAAATTCTCATCCCAAGGCCCATTCTCACCCCCAAGGCGTCACTTAACTGACGCCTTGGGAAGCATTTGGACATGCTTCAATATCTGACGCTTTAGGCGCCCTTTAGCGTCAGTTAGATGACGCCCTAGGATCGCGTGTACCCTACCCCCACCCCACACCTAAACCTAACCGCGTCCTCTAACTGACGCTTTTCTTTAGCGTCAGTTAGATGACGCCGTAGGATCGCGTCATGTAAGTGACGCTAAAGGGCGCCTAAAACGTCAAATATTGAAGCATGGTCAAAGGTGACGCCTTGGGGTGAGAATGCGTTGCATATTACGCTTTTGCCAATGTGTCTACATCCAACGCACATGGCACCCTTTAGCGTCAATATAACAGGCTTCGGTTATGGTAGGTTTAGGTCTGGGGTAGGGTTAGGGTTAGACCACTAGGAGGCGCCTTCTGGCCCATATATATCTGCGTCTCATATTGACGCTAAAGGGTGCCATGTGCGTTGGAAAGCTTCAGTATATGACGCCTTGGGATGAGAACGGGCTGGGAATACATGATAGAAAATAGTGTTAGTAAGTTGGTGTAGGTCAGAGAAGTGCATGGATAGTTGAGTGAAAGTAATCAATCAAGTTACAACACTGTAAAAGAGAGGTGTCTAATGACTCATAAATAGGATAGAGCTTAAAGAAACAATATGTAAAATTTCTGTGAAAAAATATCCAAAAATCACTTGCACAGTGTGATATAGATAGTATTTCCTGCAGTTTTGTACTCACAATATCCCAAAAGTTCCCAAAGATTTTTAGTTTCAGAGACATTCCAATTTTAAATAATGACTCGTCCCTGTTCACTTGTCGCCTGTCAATGAGGTAATATCCGCACTATTAAAAATATCGTTGATGTATTTTGAGCTAAAAATTCACATACACACTCTGGGGACAACAGAAAGTTTTCATTTATAATAAATAAATGATATTTATTCCATTCAAAATATTGTAAAAAGGAGCATTAAACCACCCCTTTAAAGATTACAAGATTACAATCAATTGTTTTAATTAATGAGCCCTTGTAATCTTTAAATAATGCCCCTTTTTTGCAATGTATATAATGAATTTATGAAGTGGAAGTCAATGGTATCCAAAACATTCTTCAAAATATTTGGGTGAAATGAAAGTCCCTATAATTTCCAACAATCATTTCATCTGCACAGCTACTGAACCATTAACTGGGCGGTTCATCGCCACAGTCCAACTTGTACTGGGTTGTACAACCAGGCACAGAGCAAGATTGAAGCGAGGAACTCGGTGAAATTTGATAGCATGTGCTTGAACTCCCTCAGAAGCTGTTATATCTCCGGAGTCAACTGCGGGAACGTCTGAGGTAAGCCGCTATTTTTCTTTAATTTGATAAGACCTATAACGTTACTTGTACATGTTTTAGGATTATTTTCATAAAGCATTAAATCAGAACGATGAAAATGATACAGCCTATTGAAAAATTAGCAACCGATTTAAAAACCTATAGTCTGTGGGCGGACACACCATCTGTGTTTGTATTAGTAGCATGGGTATGTTTGTCTTAAAACGTTTACCAAATTAATCAAATCTTATGACTCGTGTACTAACGGAAGTAAACATCTTTTTCTCCCCTCCTCGTCTCTCCTGCTCGTTTTTATTGCCACAATTTTTATCAGAGATATATTACACCGCGGTGAACAGCGATTATTATTTTATTATTATTATTTATTTTATTTTTATTTTTTTGCACGCTTGGCATCTCAGAATATCTCCAAAATACTTCTTGACTGCTCAAGGATAAAGCCCAGGTGTAGCCTACTTTCTTCCAAACTGTACTTTGCGTTTGCTTGAGTAGGCTACCCACAGCCAAGTAGCTAAAAGGAATGTCAACATGTTTTAAAGCTTTAAACAGTTAGCGTACCGCTTTACTAAACATGTGTAATGATGTACTTACAAATCTTTAAATTTAGACCAATGTTTAATTATTACTTTTATATCAAACTGTGTAAATTGAGACATGCTTACCCTGAAATTCTTGAAATATTTAGTTTGGTTTGGCATTCTGAGATAATATTGAACCTGGGATTAAGATAAAGTAAACGTCTGGTGAAACAGTTTCTCATAGTTATAGTATCTCAAACTTTCACTTATTTTGCACAGTGGGTTTGCACTCCTTCACAAATGGAATATATATATATATATATATATATATATATATATATATTATATATATATATAAATATATATATATATATATATATATATATAATATATATATATATATATATTTATTCCATTTGTGAAGGAGTGCAAACCCACTGTATATATATATATATATATATATATATATATATACTGTATATATATAGCATAGTATACTGGACCAGAGTTTGGATTATTCAAATACATGGGAGCAACAAAATACATGTAGGCCTATTGAAAAAAAAAAAATATTTTTAGAAAGGACATTTATATTACACCTCTTTCTGTTACTTTTTTTGGTCTTTAATCAATGTATATCCTTGGTTTGAGGAACATGTTTTAGGATGATTTAATAAATCAGAACAGAGCACTGGTAAGAAAATGCCATAAAATTATTTATTTATTTATCTTGTTTTGAAAATATATTCAGTACTCAAAACATTGTTGAACATGGAAAAGAAAACTCAAATGTAAACTTTTGAAGGAAAAAATAGGAAAATCCTGCTGTGATGGTGAAACATTGAATAATGGAACTCAACAAGCAACTTGAGAGAACAATGAAGGGTCTGTTCTTCAGGGAGGCATGACATTAAGTTAATCATTTCCTCTATCTGACTTTGGCAGAAATATTCATTTGAGCATTAAATCACAAAAAGATGTATTATTGCACTTATTGGAGGGTTCATTGTGGATTCCTGCATCTGCCACTAACACAGACTTTGAAAAACTGCAAGTTCTCAAGTAAAAGATAAAATGTGCTTCTTAAATAAGCTAATTGATTTGTAGTACACAATATTGTTTTTTATTATTATTATTATTTATTTTTTACAATATTAATTATATTTTTATAGCAAAAAGAAATAATGTAAATAAAATAAAAGTACATAATTATGAGGTATTAAACAGGATATTTGACATTTTCATCTCAGGATGGATTTTTGAAGATCACATTTAGAAGGAAAAAAAAGTATGTCGAAATGCGCTGAAATAAGATCCTTTCATTTTTCCAAGAACATAAAAAACTGACACTATGATAAAGAATTTGTAATGTTCTGCCAACAACTCTTTTCCCATTTCCTCTTTGTCAAACATGCTTACATATTACATATGGTTTACAAACTTCTCCTTTCAAGCAAAATGTATTTATTTATTATTACAAACATACAGGGGTTAGACAATGAAACTGAAACACTGGCCAATGTTGGAGGTTTCACATCTATATGCCTGGTGGCCAATCTTCAGAGTGAAGCACGGGTGGATCAGTGATGGTTTGAGCTCCAATATCACGACAATCCTGATTGTATTTGATGGACATGAGTCACACGACACTGCTGAGGACTACCAAACCCTTCTGGAGGATCATGAGCACCTGATGCTCAAACCGTGTATCAGCATGATCATGCACCAACACACACAGCAAGACTTGTGACAGAAGGGTTTGATGAAGATGAAAGTGACGTTGAACATCTCCCATGGTCTGCACAGTCACCAGATCTGAATATTATTGAGGTGTTTTGGAGGAGCGAGTCCACCAGCATCATATACCTGGACACTGTTCTGGAAGAGGAACGGCTCATAATCCCTCTGGTCACTGTGAAGGACTTCAATCTGTCAATTGGTGCTGTATTTGGATGCAAACTGAGGCCCTCACCATTCTAACAAATTATTGTGTTGTAAAACCAGGTGTTTCAGTTTCATTGTCCAACCCCTGTATTTTCTTCGTTTTAAAAAGTACTACAATAAGAAAACAAACAGCAAAACATTGAACCAAAAAAAAGTAATACTTGTTTCTTTGATATATATAATGGTCATATGATTATTATTTTATGTAAACACAGCATTAGCATCTTGATTTGCTTGCTGAACCTGGTCCATGTCATTAAGCAATGCATCCTTCTATTCTTACAAAAGTTGAAAAAATGAAACCATGATTAGGATCCCAATAACATTTTTTTTTTCTCTATCCTCTGTTGCAGATCTAAGACAAGACTGTAAGAATGCTTTTTTCACTGGCTCTACTTCTCAGCTTCCAGGCAGTTCTGCAAATTAAGCCAACAAAAGCCAAGCATTCCTGTACAATAGCATCTAAAAACAGTGTAGCTGACTGTAAAGGTTTACGTCTAGATAATGTGCCTATGACACTGCCTGACTCACTGGAAGAGCTTGACTTGTCT